GGGAAGACAGACACTCCATGCAGATGGTGGCCAAAAATTATGTAAGTAGGACATAATTTTCTACTTTAAAATTTAATTTTATATAACGTTGCCACGCGCGGACTCTGCGACACCATATAGCGTCATTCGTACCGGGGACTTTCTTTTAACGACGACATACGTTGTCTTTAGTCGTTTAAAGGTTAAGCATCCAAAATTAGTTACTATAATTGATAAATCAGCCTCCTTTAAGAATTCAGAAAATTATACCCGTCTGTTCAACTTACTATTGGTTCCTTGCCCATCATGTACTCATACAGGATATTACGTAAATACTCCAGCTCTGTGCAGGCATCTTCCAGTGTTCTGGTTTCAGGTGTCTTCCCTGGTGAGTTCAGTGTTCTTCTTAGAGACAAAAGCCGGCGTAATTCATTAACTTCCAGCCTGTTATAATCATCAAGACTCACACAAAAATGTTTTCATAAATATTACACTAAGCTAGCTAATAGCAATACGTAAACATAAAAGTTTTTAATCAAAATGGAAAATGGAAGCACTTAATCTTGATGTGAAGGCTAAATTTTTAGTCCTTATATGTTCCCTCCCCCAATAATCTTTTCAAGATGCTTCCTACAAGATCACCTTGATATCTGTGTATCCCCTCACCCTCAACTTTTGAACTGCTGAACTGGTTTTTATGAAATTTTGTATGTACATCATGCTACCTGGGGGATCTCAATAACATACCTCTAAATTGTTCCATTAGTAATACCAACAGTGCAACCTCTCACAATTATTGAGGTAATAACCTTAATATTACTTGAATGCCTAAACCAATCATCATGAAATGTCTGTATGTAACTCATGCTATCTGAGGCTACCTCAACAGCACAGTTCATAAATCCCTCCAATCAGTAATGTGAACATTGCAGCCTCTCAAACTGGTGGGGTAATAACCTTAATATTACTTGAAATCTGAAGCAATCATCATGCAACCCAGCATGAACACTATGCCAATAGCATATCTCACAATACCTAACTTCAGCAATATCCAGATAACAGCTGCTCAAATTCTTGATGTGGAAGCCATAAGACTCATCTTATCTAAACACTCACTTCATGGATGTCATACACATTACAGCCCTTTAATGACCTTCTTTTGCATACATTATGAAAAAATAAGCTAGCAAAATACAGCAAATACAAATTTACATTTCCAAACCACTAAAATACTATGTCTTTATGGCTACAAATTATTTAATTAAATGAACAGTTCTATCTTCTGGGATATAACACAGCGTAGTTTGCTGAAAGTCAACCGATGTTTTGGAGAAATATGTCACCTCCAACTTCAGGGTCAAAGAATAAGCCAAGCATTAAACCAATTTGAAAGCAGGTGGCAAGCATAGCCTAGTCCATTAAAAGCAAACTGTTTGCTACCTGCTTGATGCTGGTTTCTTATTTGGCTTATTCTTCGACCCTGAAGATAGAGGTGACATGTTCCTCCGAAACATCAGCTGAATTTCAATGGACATGGTGTTGTATCTCAGAAGACAGAACTCTTTATAACCACCAATGTGAGAATGTCAAATCCTACATTTAATTAAATATTTATGTAACTGTGTACAGTGATCCCTGTTACCATGGAATTAGTATAATCTGGCAATAACTTCACCACTTTAAACTGTATTATTACATGTGCAATTCTGACTCTAAAGAAATTAAGTTTATAGTACTGTTTACTGACTGCATTATGAATACATACAAGATTTTTTTCCACATGTCATATAAAATACTCACATTCTAGTGAAAGGAAAGTAGGCAATTAGTTCTTCCCAGTGCTTCTTGTTAAAAGAGGCATTATAAGAATAGCAAGTTTCATGGCAAGAAAGAGGCATTACATACGGCATCAGAGCAACCAAAAATGTTCTGAGGCATCAGGAATGTGGTGAACTGATGTAAGAATCATTTGGAAAAAGAAGGGGATTAACCAAAAATTATGCTGTTTCTCTGACTGCCTTTTGTACATTTGATAAGAAAAATTACCCTTGCTTCTTAAATTACCATTCTAATAACTATTAAAAAACTCCATTCAAATGGCAGCATGGAATTTGTAGCAGTAACCTAGCACACTTAGTATTTGTCACAAAACTATCAATGAAAAGCTTAGCTAACTGACAACCCTTCAGCATCGGAACCCATAGTTCAAAATATATGAACATGCTACTGAGTCAGTTCCATCTGCCTGCCAGGTAACAATCCATCAACATAAGATCACCCTAAACTTCTCATCTCCTTCTTGATCATCCAACCAGTTTCTATGACAGAAATTTTGTATGCATTTCTTATCTTGTCTGAGTTACACGTATAAACTGTCATAACCCCTTCATTTCATTATGTTATAACAATATCAGATTACCTGTTTAAGTCACAAAGTTCCTCACTATGTAATATCCTAAAGTGGTCCTTTACTCCTTGCCTCCTTGCCAAATACTTTCCAGTTTCTTTTTGAACACTTATAATTTACATTTTTGACATTCAAGTAAGAAATTGAATTTCACAAGTATACAAAACGCCTGGTAAACTTAAAGAATTTACATTAGCAATATAACTGAAAGGGAAACATAGCAACCAAATGCTGAAATAAGGCTTACCTATGGAGCCTCTTTACTTCTTTCAATTCATTTGTCTGAGCCATCAGCTGACGGTGTAATAATTCTATACTCCCTGTTCCACTTTCCACTGCAGCTACTGCCAAGTGACTTGTATTTTCCAGCTCCTGGTAATAGTAGGAATATTTATAACCCCAAAAGAATACTGCTGCATAGTGAACTTAACAATAAGAGATATGCAGAAAAGGACACAGAAATTAGGAAAAGGAGTTTTAGGAAATTTTGTATATTAAACAATAATGTAAGGTAACAAATCAATAGCTGATCACAGTGCCCACAAGGTCTAAGGCATGAATTGTCTTCACTGTCTTGAACCCTGGGATTGTGGGTTCAACTCCCACTCAAGGAATGGATGTCTGTCTGTGTTTATTCTGTGTTCGTGTTGTCCTGTGTAGGTATCAGCCTTGCGTTGGGCTGATCCCCCACCAAGGAATACCACCAACTGCCTAAGATTAAGAAAGTGAAATTAAACAGGGTGTTTCATGAATGACCTATGCCAGAGCAACAGAAATGAATGACTGGACGGATGAGTGGGTGGATTGGATGGATGGATGAAGAAAGATAGATAGAAACAATACAGATATCTATGTATTTTGCATGTGCACATGTGTATGTATGTGTGTGTACTTCATATGGTGATGGTAATTACCTGAAATAACAATGAAAGGAAAAATACCTTACAGCACAAAAAAAAATTATTCTCTTCATACAGCATGCAACAAACAGCTAATAACAGATGACAACTGAAGGAGAAAGGAATACAAGGGGCTGGAATAGCATATTTCTGTTGTTGATTAGAGATTCCTAACAGAAAAAAGGTCCTTTAAAGTACAAGCAACCTTAGGCATCCCTTAGTAGAGTGCAGGTAATCTATCAGTTTCAATGATACAGTAAACTGACCTTGTAGTGAAAACTATTATCTTCTAGAATATAATGCCACATAGTCTGCTAGAAGTTCATCAACATTCCAAAGGAATATATTGCTTCCATCCTAAAGGTAAAAAACTGGAAGTATACAACATCCCCTGTGCGTGAGATCAGGTCCATATTGGGGAGATATGACATTCCATTGACACCAGGATTAAAGAGCACCATCAGCATATCTGTCATGATTATTTGGACAAGTCACCCATGGTAGGGAATAGCACCAAACTGGGATATTAAATCCTGCTCCAAAACACTGGTTTTCCACCAAATATGAATACATGGACCATACAATTGGAGTGGTTAATGAGGTGGAACTCCATCCTAACAACATGAACATGAAGGATAGCTTCTGCCTAAGCTAGTCATTGTAATGGCTCATCCACTCCCTAAGAGGATGTAGGAAGCTTCCTTCAAGAGATTTCTCATGATGGAGTTCTCCAACCAAGCCATTAGGTCTGTTGTACAATGCCCTTTTCAAGATACCCATCTGCTCAAGCTCAAGAACTCATTTAATTTACAACAGAATATGACCATCTGGGTAGCTTGTTAACAGATGATGGAAGGTGTACTAGTGAAATTAAATCCAGGATTGGCATGGCGAAAGCTGCATTTAGCAAGAAGCAGAATCTTTTTACCAGCAAACTGGACTTAAATTTGAGGAAGAAACTAGTGAAATGCTACATTTGGAGCATAGCTCTGTATGGAGCTGAAACATGGACACTTAGGGCAGTAGATTAGAAACATCTGGAAAGTTTCGAAATGTGGTGTTGGAGAAGGATGGAGAAGATCAGTTGGACCGATTATGTAAAAAATGAAGACGTGTTAATTAGAGTCAGTGAGCAGAGGAATATCCTACACAAAATAAGAAAACGGAAGGCTAATTGGATTGGTCATGTTTTACGCAGAAACTGCCTTCTAAAAGAAGTTATTGAAGGAAAGATAGAGGGGCAGATAGAAGTGACAAGAAGATAGGGAAGAAGACGTAAGAAGATGCTGGATGACCTTGGGGACAGAAGAGGATACTGTCATTTGAAGAAGAAAGCTCTAGATTGCATTAAGTGGAGGAATTGTTTTGGACGAGACTGTGGACCTGTCGTCTGACAGTTTACTGATGATGATGACCATTTATAAAAAGGTAACCGCCATCTGTGAGACAACTATCTAGAGAATATGGAAGCCTCAATGTCTCACAACCCTATGGGCCCCAGTGGCCTGTTATACGGATACCTATACCTCTTTTTTTATGGAATTTAATCAATTAACTTGAAAATTATTATATGGCAGTAATTCCTATACTGCATTTCACAAATCCCACTCGAGGAATGCAAAGTGCTTCAAAGAGTTCTTTGAAGAAAAATGTGTAATATCACGTTACTTTGAAGCACATTTTAAACGTTTAAAAATGCATAAGGTGGTGCTACTCTGTTCATTTATCTTACAGAAATGTTATTTTATATAGCTTTTTCTGTTGCTGAGATGTACAATTATACTAAGTTACTTTACTTTCAAAATTAAAAATTATCTGTGAACAACTGTTAAGAATTAGGCACATGGGAATGAACTGGGCAGAATAGGAGCTTGAAAAGAAGGAAAGGGGCACATAAGGCAAATAAAAAACTAACTTCCTTGTTTGTAAGCAGCAAAGTGTTAGATCAGAAATGTATTCAGAGAAAATATCAATATGAGTGCACACATTTTTCACCTTTCTCTCCCAGTGCCATTCTTTGTTGAGCTCTGCCAGTTCCTCTTTATGTCTTGCTTCTGCCTCCATTAACTGCTGCTCCAGACACTGATGCCACCTCTTGTCTACTTCAGCTAGTTCCTGCTGGTGGGCAGCCTGCAGCTCTTGTATTTGAAGTTCAGAGTTATTCAACTCAACATCTTTCATCTGCATGAACACCACATAAATCATGAATAGTAAGACTTCTGACAGGGTCAGTCAAAAAAAGATGCTAGAACTTAATTGGATATATTAATTAGATGCTGATGCACAAAGATAATTTTGTTTATAGTCTGACCCATAGTATGGAAAAATGTGTTGCTGCCAATGGTAACTTAACGAATCATGGAATACAACAATGTGTCATTATAGTAAAAACATATTGTTCTTAGGGTGCTGCCAATGGGAAGACAACAGTGAGATCATGGAAAAACAGTCTTTAGAGAATAATTTCTCTTGTTTCTCCAAGGAATTATTGTTCACTTTGAGGAAACAGTCTTTCAACAGGATGGCACTTAACTACACACAGCCAAAGGAATTTGGATGCTCTGAATGAGCATTTTGGTGATCACATCTCAAATTACTTCTCTGGATGTTCCGGCTATGGACAGTCTTGGTCACACTATTCACCCCATCTCAATCCCTCTGAGTACTTTTTATGAAGGTATCTGAAAGACAATGTGTAGAGAAACCAAGCCCCATACAGTTGGTGAGATGAAACAACAAATTTAATGTGTTGTCATCAGAATGGCTGCTCACATTCTAAGCAGAATAGTTATCAGCTTTCAGTGTCAGCTGAATATGGTCTGGGATCCTGAAAGTTCACACATGAACATGTTTTCTATTGACAAATTCTCCCAAGTCTACTGTTCTAATTAACATCAAAAACATTACGTCACTTGGGTCAGTACTTTATGGAACCAGGTGACTATTTTGATGCCCTCACATCCAAAATCCCGCGCTTCATTCGAAGCGTGGGGTTGCTGAGGGAATAATTAAAAAGGGGAAGCACAATAGACCTAAGGTCACGGTGCAAGGGCTGAGAAGGCCTACCCCTTATATATTCTATTCTATTCTAAACATCAAAAACATTACTGTATATTAACATCATCAAGAAATATATGAAATATATGTGATTTAAACTGAAGATTCTTCTTAGACTACCCTGCAGATTGGCTGCAGAAGCTTCATCTATGCCACATAACTCACAAAAGTTTGTTACAATTATAATATTACTTATAGTATTTGATGATTACAGTAGTTTGTTCTTTATTTGTTTAATGATGCTATGAACTACACACCTTATAACTGTACAGCAGTTGATTTCATAAGGGTGATTCATATGAAAAATCATCATCAATTTAAAAACTACAAAAGGGAAAAATTGTCATGTTATCTGCATAAAGTATGCTGTCAGCACTGAATGCATCTGTTCCATGTGCCAATGTACATAGGCGAGTCAAATGAAAACCTTAAATTTTTTTGAGTATTATTTATTGTGCACAAGTGGTACAAAGCTGTATCACTTTTCAACATAATCTCCCCCATGCTCAATGCAAGTTCTCCAGTGCTTACAAAGTGCATGAATTCCTTTAGAAAAAAATTCTGTTGGTAGTCCACGCAACCACTCATGCACCGTGTGGTGTACCTCTTCATCAGAACGGAACGTCTTTCCTCCCATTGCTTCTTCGAGTGGTCCAAACATATGGAAATTCCTTGGGGCAAGATCTGGTGAGTATGCCGGATGAGGAAGACACTCAAAATGCAGGTCATTGATCGTCACAACTGTTGTACGGGCAGTATGGGGCCTTGCACTGTCATGTTGCAAAAGGATACCTCTGGACAGCAATCCACGTCGCTTTGATTTGATTGCAGATGATTTTTTAGGAGATCTGAGTATGATGCACTGGTGACAGTGGTCCCTCTAGGCGTGTAGTGCTCCAAGATGACGCCTTTTTCATCCCAAAAGAGAGTCAGCATAACCTTCCCTGCTGATGGTTGTGTTCGAAACTTCTTCAGTTTTGGAGATGAGGAATGGCGACATTCCTTGCTCACTCTCTTTGTTTCCGGTTGGTGGAAGTGAACTCAGGTTTCGTCCCCAGTAACGATTCTTGCAAGGAAGTCATCACCTTCTCGTTCAAAGCGCCGCAGAAGTTCTTCAGAAGCATCAATATGTCAGTCTTTCAATTCAGGAGTCAGCTGCCATGGCACCCATCTTGCAGACACTTTGCGAAACTGGAGCACATCGTGCACAATGTGGTGTGCTGAACCATGACTAATGTTTAAACTTGCTGCAATTTCATTCAATGTCACTCAGCGGTTTTCCCTCACTATGGCTTCAACTGCTGCAGTGTTCTCTGGAGTCACACCTCGATGTGCCTGACCCAGATGAGGAGCATCTTCCACTGAAGTCACACCATCTGCAAACTTCCTACTCCATTCGTACACTTGCTGCTGTGACAAACATGCATCACCATACTGAAACTTCATTCTTCGATAAATTTCAATAGGTTTCACACCTTCACTATACAAAAACTGAATAACAGAATGCTGTTCTTCCCTGGTGCAAGTCTCATGTGGGGCAGCTATATTATGCTGGTGCTGTGACAGTGTTCATGCATCTGCACTATGCTGCAACCTACAGGCCATTCTGCATGCTGTTTGTAGCGCGCTTATCAACTTACAGGATAATGGCATGAAATTTTGATTTTTTATTACAAATTTAAGGTTTTCATTTGACTCACCCTCATATATTTAAGCAGGTGATGTATAAAACAGAAACACCCCTGCATCCACCAATGAAGACTGAGATGCAATCTACAATTTGATTTTTGACCATAGAAGAGACAAATGTGACCAAAATTTACATAGAATATTGATTCATGGTGAAGTACAAATGACTAAAAAGTATGTCTATATGGTGGTAATTAATTAATCTAAAAACAGCATTGCAAGCAATGCAATCTGTGACTTGACCAAAAAAATTGTACAAAGATGCCAGAGGATATCAACAGCTGTGGATAAGCTTTTGCATTATCACTGAAGAGACAGCTGAAGCAATGAATATCACTGTTAATACTGCATATAACATTTTACATGAACAGTTGAATTATTGAGAAGTGTGTGCTTGATGGACTTCCCAGTGTCTGAAACATGTTGAGCTCATTTGGGTCCTGTATTTCTCAGACAGCACAAGCAGTAAGAAGCCTTTCTAGGATCTGCAGGAACCAGTCAGGAATTCTAGATGTACTATTACTTTACATGGAGCAAGCGCAGAAGTACAGTGTTATGTCATATCAACTCACCTTGATCAAAGAAATTCTGTGTCAAAGCATGAGACAGAAAAATGCTACTCTATTCCAGAATCAAAAGGGAGTGATTCTGGAGACACTATATATGGAGAGATGAATCACCATAAGCACAACATATTGGAATCTACCTATGAGACAGCAATTTAAAAAAAAAAAAGAAGGAAAAAAGTAGCACCTGTTAACCAAATGCCTACCTACAGTATCACAATACCTACTCTGAAATTGCTTATGCATGTTAGAGGTTAATTCACCTTCCATATTCATCAGCAGAGGCAGCCACTCCATAAAATGCAGAGGGGTTGTAACTCTTGCCCCCCCCCCCAACACTTAAAGTCTCAATACATAAAAAGTAATTTCACATTTAGTACGACATGCATAGTTTTAATAGTCTTCTAATATACGTAGGTCGTACCGAAAGTCATTAGCAACTTTTTTTTGCATGCAACCTGGGAACAGCACACAAAAGAGAGTATGGTGGTAGGTGGAACCAGGTGTTGTGTTAACCTTGAGTGTCTTGTGATGTCAATAGCTTGCATCACGTGACCAGTATCACTCCTAACAAAATGGCCAACAATGATATGTCATTTCGCCAGCGTGCTGTCATCGAATTTCATGTGAAAGACGAAATCCCTGCTGCAGAAATTCACCAGACTTCAGTGTGCTTATGGAAGTGTGTGCATGGATGTGAGCAGTGTTCAGAGATGGGTGAAATATTTTAAAGATGGGAACACCAGCATCAAAGATGAGCCTCGGAGTGGTCGTCCTCGAACAGTCTCAACTGAAGGCAACAAGGAAAGTGTGGATGAGATCATTCAAGATGACATGCGTGTGACTGTGAACACAATAGCCCGAAAACTTGGAATAGGGCACAAGTGCAGTACAGGAGATGACTGAAAGCTTGGGCTATAGGAAAGTTTGTGCTTGTTGGATCCTGCGGTTATTGACCGAACACCACAAAGGTCAGTGAAAAGCCATCACCTCAGAACTGCTGCAGAGATATCGACACGAAGGCAATGACTTTTTGCTCTGTATTGTGACAGGTGATGAAAGCTGGTTTCACCATTTCAAGCATGAAATGAAACGGCAGAGTATGGAATGGCACCATTTGCATTCTCCATCAAAAAAGAAGGCAAAGACAGTGCCATCAGCTGCGAAAGTGACGGGCACAGTCTTCTGGGATGCAGAGGGGTTTGTTCTGGCCAAATTCCTGGAACCTGGGCAAACCATCAATGCTGCTCGTTATGTCCAGATGCTGCACAAGCTCTGTTGTGCATTGCGTGATAAATGTCTGGGACGAAACATCATCATCCTGCATGACAATGCTCACCCCCACGCTTCTCGCCTCACATTGGAAGCAACTGCAAAGATGGGGTGGGAAGTTCTTCCACACCCCTCCTATAGCCCTGATCTGGCACCCTCCGACTACCATCTTTTCGGATTTGTGAAGGATCAGCTGCGTGGACCAGGTTTTGAGACAAGGGAGGCAATTCAGAAAGCAGTGCGTCAGTGTCTTCGGATGGCTGGAACGGAATTTTACAGAAGGGGAATTTTCAAACTCCCAGAACGATGGGAGAAATGTGTACAAAGAAGTGCGGATTATGTGGACAAATAAAGAAAGGTCTGTAGATTGAGGTGGTGTATTTCGTTTGTCAATAATAAAGCATGTTACTTTACAAAAAATTGTTGCTCATGACTTTCAGTATAACCCTCGTATTTACATTCTGACTGGCATGAGAAGGTTTATCAAAACCTGCAAATGAGTTGATTGCAATGTTTACCAATATTTGGGGCACTTATTGTTCCACTTTCCATAACCACTTATGCTCTTGAGGTTAGCCTTTGTCTAGTAGCAATTTCACCATAATGTCACATCTTAATAACCATACTCTTAACTTCTTTTATCTTTTATTCCATCTCTGCACTGAACTTTCTGTGCTGCACTCTCTACTTCACAACCGCTTCCACACTGAACTAACCTCCTGTCAATTCTATAGATCTAAATTGCACTGAGCTCTCATGAAGCTTTGCATCTACTGTTATATGTGTATCACACTTCAAGAATATTCCCTTGAATCCTGGGGCAGCTGAACAGTTGCTGGAACAATGTAGGGGGGGGGGGAGCAGGCCACCCTCTCATCAGTTCAAATGAATGAGAAACGTGCAGGCCAGGCAACATACACCACGTTTCAACCTCAAGAGGTCATCCTCAGGTGTACGAACACAGCTGTGATGGCTACTGACAAGGACCGTATGGATCCAGCAACATCAAAGGACACAGAAAAACAGCGAGACCTCCAAAAAGTGAAAAGTGCAATATAATAAAATTGAACTTTATTTCATGAACTTTTTAATAATATAATTAAAACTAGTTAAAGTGAACTTGACGCAGTGATGAGCATAAGTAGGAAATGACTGTATAAGTGAAAGTGAAAGCACACTAGTGATCTGAATTGAAATTCGATTCACAAATTTTAAATTTTAACTTCTGACATTTAGAATAATATTTTAACTTGTGTTTTGTGAGAGTAATTTGATATATTATTGAGCATGGGCCTGAATAAGATACAGGATCAAATATGTGAAAACACAAATATCATTGCGTGTAATTATACAGCTGTGTTCGTACACCCGAGGATGACCTCTTGAGGTCGAAACATGTAGTGTAATAATAATAAAAATATGTTGTGTGATCGGTAAAATTGACTCTAATATTAATTAAATACACAACAGGATGCAAGAAACAATTAAAGTACACCACCACCCCACCTCACGCCAGCACTCAGCTCTCATGAAATGACAACTTGCATGGGCCTTGCCTCATGGACTCCAGCCTTAACTCACATTTCCATGGAAGTTCCTGCCACTTGCTTGTGCTGCTTGATAGATGTCATGCCTTCTCACAAATCTCTGCTTCATGATCAACTGGGCTGACAAATCCTGGCCCTTTTGGTATTCACAAATTCCATATACATTCATACCTCCACTTGTCTGAACATCTGTTATTCTCCCACCACATGTACTCAGCAATATTGCGACAAAAGCACATGTTAACATTTGGGGTTTCTTCCGTTACTTTATTTCCATGAGATTAAACAAGACTGATTGACCAATGTGTGTGTGTACATGAGGGAGTGTTTATTTCGAGTAATAAGCTTGTAATAGGAACATGTTTGAAAGTTTATGAACTATATTTTAAGGAAAGACAAGTTTAAAGTGATTCAGTACTACATAAATTATTGTCGCTATGACTATCAAAGAACCTAAACAGCCAAATACGTGAGAGAAACAGTGCATTTTGAGGCCCATATTCTTCCCTATAAAAGCATCAGTCTGTCCATCCATCTATATGACCAACATACAGGTAGTAAAGGGCACAGATGAACCCAATAGGGTTTGAATACTGTTCCAACATAAGGGGGCATTATACCAAAAGGAGTAAGGTTACAGCAGAAGTTCATGGGGGGAGGGGAACAATTCCTTTCATTAAAATGTTGACAACACAAAATATGTCTGAATCTAAATGACATCATACTACATAACACGAAAAAACTCTTTAATATGTATACATTTAAATAAAACACAAATTGTCCACACTTTCTTTAAATATAGGCAATGGGGGGTTAAATTTTATTCATGCCTGGATCAACCCTCTCAGATAGTCACTAGCCATTACTGCCCTCCACACATACAAGTGACTTTCATCTTTTCTGGGGGCACTAACAGGATGTCACTTCACATCAGAGTAGAAGTCTCAACAGTGGTTAAAGAAACAGTCTTGGATATATAAAAGCTGCCTACTAAATACTTGCAGTTTTTTCAGAAATTAAAAAGCTGCCAAAGAAATAAAGCTACATTGTGTACCTCTAAGGCTTCTTCATGCTGCACATCCAGCTGCTGGAAAGCTTCCCCTTGGGTCTCAGATGCCTCACACAATTCTTTAATGTGGTCTTGATACTTCCTAACTTGCATATCCTCCTCCTGTTCTCTCCTCTCTATAAAAACACAAGCATGAATACGTGTTAACTCCTGCACCATTAGTACATCCTTCCTGGAGCAGGTGCATCTGTGAGGGAACTGTAACTCTTTCAAAGAGATTTAAAAGAGAACTGCTGGGAGGGGCACCTAATGATGTACAAGAAAAGCAGGTTTCAATCCAGCCTGTCATAATTTTTTGCTTGATTAAAATGTACCATACATGTCATTGCATCACGTATGGTTGTTACAAATTTACTTTACTTACATATTTACTATTTACTGAGATGTATTCTGAGTCCAAATTACTTCCACACATTCTACACATAACTGGATGACCAGATCCAAATTAGAAAGCTGATGACAAGTAAATCTATGTAAGATTTGAGGCTTTCACGGCGGTGACTATGAAGAAAGCAGTCTTCTGGGATTTGGCACCGTGTATATGNTTTCTTCAAGTAAATCTATGTTCTACTTTTGTCCATGTATGTAATTTCCAATAGTATAACTTCCAACTACAGCAAATTTGTTTGATACAATCTCAAATATTCACACTGCAGTGAAGTACAGTCTAGCACAGAACAACACATCACATTACTTTCTCTGAAGGGTTTACCTGTGAAGCCAACCTCACACACTGTCTCTCTGAAACTATTATGTTTTATGAATAGAAGGGTGTTGTAACCTGTAATATGAATCCATTTGTATTACATAAGTACAGTACATTATTACATTGAGTTAAAATACCCTGTATAGAGTACAATGAATATTTACTAGAGTCCACAAACTTCTTAGCAAATTTCACTTAACACCATCATCTCAGGAACATGCCCTTCACATATGTGGAAGGACAACTTTATAACATTTTGAAACATGGAACATTTTTTGTGGGCATCCTATATTTAAAGCCACTCTTCTCCAATACTTACCGAAGCTTTTATCCTCTAAGTTTGTAAGTTCCTCATTCCTCTCGACTAACTGTTTTTCAAAGTCAAGTACCAGCTGCTTGATCTTCTGTGCATGAACATCTTCTAACTCAGCAACTTGCTTCTCCTTTTCCTGCAAGTCCACTAGCGTATTGTCCAGCTGATGTTCCAGTTGTTCCTTCTCTGCAAGCAACTTCTCCAGATCCTGCACTGCTCCGGCTTTTTCAATCTCAGTGCTTAACCTACGTTCCAGGGCTGTCTTTTCTAGCAGTGTATCTTTCAACTGTTCTCTCAGTTCACATATATCTGAAAGATTTCTCTTCTGCTCTTCCATCATTTCCATCTTCAGTCCTTCAAAATTCCCACATCTGGTAGTTAATGTTTGTTCCAAATCCAGCTTCTCCTTCAAAGCACTGTCCAACTGTTCCTGCAACTCCTTATTCTTCATATATACCTTTTCTACCTCTAGCCTTTCTTCTTCGTGCTTTTCTTTCCTAATGTTTTCTTCAAAAATTAACTGATTTTCTAAAAGCTTTTTCTCATCCAAAAGATTTTCCAGCTGTTCCTCAAGATCACTTTTTTCTACAAGAACCTTTTCAAGATCCAGCCTTGTTTCCTTTATTGTGCTTCTCTCAAAAATAGACTCCTCAAGCTCTTTTTCCAACTTATTTAACTGTTGTGTCTTAACCTCTCTTTCTGAAGTAAGAATTTCATTTTGTGATTTCAAATGTGACACCTCTGACTGAAAATTTTGAACTGCATCTCTGAGTTCCTTCTCCTGTGTAAAATTTATGTTAATGGTATTCTCCAGAGCAGTCTTTTCTGCTTTTAGCTGTTCAATTAATTCATAATTTTCTTTGTTGGTCTTCTTTAAGCTATCGACCGTTGAAATTAACTGTTCAACTTGTTTTGTCAAAAGATCGTTACTTTCTTTCATACTCTTACATTCGTCATTCAGCATCTTTGTCTCTTGTGATTCTATGTGTAACTGCTCTTCTAATTTAATATTCAATTGCTTCAAATCTTTCTCTTTTGTTTCCAACAAGGCTCGCTGTTTTAACAACTCTTCCCTCTCCTCACTTAAAGCATTTAATTTTGTTTCTGCTTCCAGTAACTTAGCAGAATCAATAGCAGATTTGACTAAACTAGCCTCCTTTTCAGCTGCCATGATTTCAAGTCCTTCCTCCTTCTCTTTCAGTAGATGCCCTTGATTGGTGCTTTCATTATTAAGGTGTTCAATTTCAGCTGAAAGAAGTTGCACCCTCTGTTGAGTTTGCTCCAGCTCAGACTTCAAACTTGAATGGTCTCCTTTAACTTTAATATTTTCTTTCTTCAACATCTCAGCTTCAGCTGACAGCACTACTTCCTTTTGTTGAGACTGTTCTAGTTGAGAAGAAAGATTGGATATTTCATATTCAAACAGCTGCTTTTCATTTTTTAGCTCCCTTTGTAGTGATTGCAATGCAGCCTCATGGTTCTTAATTTTTACTTCATCAGAGTGTGATTTAGTGTTCCAGACTACTTCTTGTGATTTAAAGTTTTCAATAACCTTCAACTTTGCATCTTTAATCTCTGCATTTTGGCTCTCGAGGGTCTGTTTTTCCTTATTAGCCTTCATTAATACAACTGATAATTTCTCTATTTCAGCCCTCAATGTTGCTGTTTCATTATCAGCATCAGTCAAAGAATCTGTCAGTCTCTTTATCTTCTCATTAAGAACATTATTTTCTCTTTCGTATCCAGTCAAAGAAGAAGTTAATTCCTCTACAGTACCAGCAAGCCTATCTTTCTCTTCAGTCAAAACTATAAACTCTCTTTTCAGTGAGTGACAGTAGCCTTCCAATTCCTTCATCTTGCTATCCTGTTTCTCATTTTCCAGTTTCAAATTCTCGTAATCCTCACTGGTTATTTTCAATTTACTTTCAGTAATATTCAGATCACTTTCTAAACTTATAACTTTACTACAGCATTCATTATGTGTATTCTTTAATTCACGTATCTCTGTATCTTTTGACAGCAACTTAACTTCATAATCACTTCTGAGACTTACCAAATCATCTTTATCCCTTTCTATTTTCTCAGTTAGTTTCTTCTGAAGGTCAGTTATATTGTCACGCAGTTCAAATGTTTCTTGTTCCTTCTTCTCAAAAGTTGTTGTCATATTTTGCAACTCATGCTGAAGTTTCCTGATTAAAGCATTATTCTCTGAGAGCTCAATTTCCAAATTTTTCTTTGACAATTTCAAATCTTCTAACATTCGTTCAAGTTTCCTTTTGCATTTAATATTCGTTTCATGTTCACTTAGTTCTTTTTCTAATACAGATAAATTCTTTCTCAGGTTGGTATGGATGTTATCTTTCTCCTGTAATTCCTTTCTGAAAGTTTCCACTTCTCTCTTGGTCAAATCAAATATATCCATCATCTGAGATCCAAGTCTATTAACATCTTCCTTTACACAGTTCAGTCTGTCATACACATCTGTCCTCAAAGCCTGAAGGCATTGCTTCAACAGTGCAACAGCCTTAAAGCTACCTACTAGAACTGAACCAAAATTTTCCTTCTCTTTTCTGACTTTCTTACACTCTTCTGCAGCCTCATTCAACTTCAGTTCAAGATCCTGAGCTTTCTCCTTCAGGGACGCTATCTCAAATGACATCAATTCTGCATCTTTATTTTGCAAAGAAACATTACCAGTTTGGTTTAATAACTCTATGTACTTGTTTTCAGCTTCATTTTTCCTTGATGACTCTGAAAACAGCTGTGACTGCATCTCTGTTAACGCTTTCTGCATATCCTCAAGTTGCTGTTTGTGTATGCTCTTCAACTCCTCAATCTCCAGATCTTTTTTTGAAAGTTTACTTTCAGTTTGCAGTCTATTAGCTGATGCTACTTCAACTTTGGACCTAAGAGACAATAATTCCTTACTATGTTCATCAGCAAGAAGTTTACAGTTGGCTTCCAATTCTGCAATCACATTTTCCTTCTCAGCAAGCTTTGTTTCGGCAACTTGAAGTTTATTCTTATATTCCTTCATTACCACTTCCAATTCAAAATTCCCTTCAGAATTAATATTGGTCTTCCCAGATGGTGATCTTACATCTTGCAAGGATTTCAACTTCAGCTCCAGTTCTTTATTTACTTCATCTTGTTCCTCAATCTGTTGTTTCAGTACCTTAACTTCTGCTTCAAGCTGTATGTTTGTTAGTTCAGATGCCTGCAACTTATCAGACATTTTAGTTTCCAAGTCAATCAATTTTTGTTGCATTTCTTGTTGAAGCAATTTCACAGCCTCTGCCTTTCCTCGGGACAGCTCCTGTTGAAAGAAACAACTTACATTATTAAATGCAGGTAAATAAACTTCAAACAGTCCGTCTTCTTTACAAAAATGTACGGAACTGAATACTTTATTCAGCTACCCTATGTTGTACTGAACATGACAGGGACTGAACATTTGAAGAAAGTCAGTATCTTGTTCTGAACTTACCTTGGGTGCTTTGGGAGGTCCATGGAATATTGCTGGTTTACTGTCTCTTGAATACTGTAGTGAGATTGACTCTTTCTAATAGGTAACCTACATGGATTTAAGCAGACACTAGGCATGCAACTACCAAAGGGCTGTATCCCAAATGTAACAATGTGGCTGTATGGTGTTATTGTGGACAGATCAGAAGCATGATGATATCAAGGGTCATTATAATTTCATACCACTTTTGATAGGCTCATTTTGTATTAACAAAAGTCAGTTCACCAAACTGTAGTTGGTAATATCAAACAGAAACAAAATGAAAATTGAGACTCTTTTTAACTCATTCTGTGTCACTGCCAAACTTTTAGAATTTCAGAATGCCTTGAAACTCACATGACTTCTATTACTTGTATGTTCTACAGTGTACTTATGTCAGCTAGGGCAAACCAAAACACCCAAAAACTGCGGCAATTCCAACTACAAGGCTAGGATAAAATCAGTCTTCTGGAAACAAGTAATCTGTTCAAATATCCACAAATCACAACATCTAATTCATTTCCAACCTACTAACAACACTGTGATCTGATTACAGAATTGTGTGCAGGCAACAGTGATGCAACAGTGGTTGAAGTAAAATATAGCTGGTAAAGCTAGAGGAAAAACTGTTCCTGTAACAGGCCGTGAAGGCCCATAGGGGTGTGAGAGGTTGAGGATCCCACATCTTCTAGACAGTCAGCTCACAGATGGCAGTAAGGCTGTCAGCCTTACATGTCTGCTGCCCTTTACCCCAGAAATCTTTCTGATACTCATTTCTGTTAGAGGCTGAGTCAACCCCAGGGCCACATTGCATCTGGAAGGATTAGGTAAATTGAAACAATTCAATGATCTCATTGGGACTCTAATCTGAGACCTTCTGGCTTGCAGCATAGTGCCTCAACCAACTACACTACCAAGTGCCCCCTGAAGTAACACATACCTTATTAAACTCCAACAAAGCTATGGCAAAGTAGTAGTTACTGTTGCCAACAATACTCTGTGGCCTGTAGTCTGCATGCAAACTATACCAACCGAGCGACCGCCGCTTGTCAGTGAAGTTAGTGCCAACTTCTGTGGATAGAGGGGTGTTCCGTGGTAAGCGCAACAGATCTCCATGGCCGTTAATTTCGGTTTTCTAGACTGGACTCTTACCAACATTTAAATTAGATATTTCAATCAGAGTAATTAGATAATTCTATTTAAAAGGAATAAGTTTCTGGTTACAGGGTTGCATTTCAAATTTTGGACATGAATGTTTATAATTCCAATTGCTATTGTATATCATTATAATAAAATTGCTGTATGTACAAAACTATTTCTGTTCAGTATAATTTCACATTACCTGTCAGAATGAAAAATTGAGGGAAATAGTGGAAGTATATATAAATCCAGAACATAACTAGATAAGCAAAGCAGGCCTTATAAGTAGCCTTTGGATTTTCTATAAACCTGTTTATGAGAGTTCTTTTCCTGACTATTTCATTATGATTAAATTAGGGTCTGTTTTACTTTTTGACTTGATATTTTCTGGCCTTCATTTAGACCTATTTTATTGCTTATGTGCTGCAGGACCAAATGAATTTCAGTTACATGTGTGAAATTCAGAAATGTACTGAGCTCTATTTCTTCATACTATCCTTCCCTATGGATAAGACTCATCCTTATTTTCTTTTTAAATACTCTACGGCTTTATGTGACTACAGTGAAAGCGCAACAGAATGAGTATTGCTTATAACAAGGACTTCATTACAGTGACAAAAACTACTGGAACTGGCAGTCGCTTGACTAATGATTGCAGTTAGCTCTTTCTATTCGATCCAAACAGAGTATAAGCCTCCCACCCTTTAAGGTAAGGTTGGAAACAGATCCAGTAACAAAAATACCAGATGATGGACAAGGTCAACAAACTCAGTAACCCCACTTTGTTTTGATCCAGTATGGTTTCCTGCAGGAAGCACATGTAGTATAGTTGGTTGAGACACTATGCTACAAGCCAGAAGGTCACAGATTTGATTCCCAATGAGGTCACTGGATTTTTTAACTGACCTATTCCTTTCAGCTGCACTATGGCCCTGGGGCCAACACAGCCTTTAGCAATGAGTACCAGGAATCTTCCTGGGGTTAAAGGGTGGGCAAGGCATAAGACTGAAAACATCACCACCATCTGTGATCTGTCTAGAAAATGTGGGAGCCTTGGTGTCTCACAACCCTACTGGCCTCCATGGCCTGTTACAGGGATAGCTTTACCTTTTATGATTTTCTGCAGGATAGGATCCCACAAACCCAAGTAAAAAGAGACAGAGAGATAAAAATATTAAATAGGCTCAGTTCTCTGATCACCACTCTATGGCACAAATGCCTCACATTCAATGATTTGAACTGGAACAGTTCTGATAAGTAACCTCATGCCAGTTACTACTTGCTTGGCATTCTGTCACTTGTACCACTCTTGATCTCATATGCAAGGCCTCGCCCACAACACAATCTCTGCCAGTAGAACTATAATCTCACACATTGTAATTACTAACATCTAAAACAGGCAACACTTCCTCATTATGCAGCTTCCTCACAACCACAATGGATAATTATGCAAAATGAATAAACAGCAACCACTAAAAAAGTCTTCTATGAATACCACTTCATGTCCTCCAAAAACAATGGTTTCCTCACACAAACAAATATCATCCTGCTGTCTGTCTGGCTCTGTGGTATCACAAATACTTCTCCTGGATGCTAATGTCATCTCCCATGACTTCCAACTGCTTCTTATAGCAGAGAGAATAGTAAATTGAAATACAGTATAATTTTCGGATATATCCAGTTTCTATCCATGGGATATGACTGCTCTTGCATTTTCTTTTTCGGCTTCCACTCAGGAATGGTTAACTTAATCAAAGCTTCTAACACAGACATAAAACTAATGTCACATGACTCATTTCTGTTACCTGTATGAGATTCTGACGGTCCTCCTCAGAACTGCTGATGTCTTCTGCTACTGGTACAGCAGCAACTGACTTCAGCCTTGTCATCTCATTCTGCAAGCTGGTGGCTATATAACGGTGATGAGAGGACACAGTTTAGTGCAGTGACATTCAGCAACATGCAATTAACCAGCTGCCTCTGTGGCACAGAGTTCTTCTTGAAAGATAACAGTTGTTCAGCTTGACAAGAAGCACCCAACACTCCATGGAACCCACACAATTATTATCATGTTCACAAGAATTTATCACTGATTCCTATCCTTATCCTCCCTCCCTAAATCTAATCAATGCCACATCCAATACTATTTCTTTATGATCCATTCTAATGTCATCCTCCCATGCAAGCCAGGATCTTCAAAGTGATCTCTTCCCTTCAGGTTTGCCAACCAAAATTTTGTATGCACTTCTCATCTCTTCCACTCATGCTACATGCCCTGCCCATTTAATCTGTCTTGATCTGTATTCTAATAATGTTTAATAATGAGTACAAATTATGAAGCTCCTCATTATGAAATTTTCTCCAGTTTCCAGTCACTTATTCAAATATTTATCTCTATACGCTTTACAATATTGTGACATGACGTCCAGAACCCGTAAACATTGGAACATAGAGATAACAGAAATGGTGGTAAAACATTCAGTTACTAGCTGACAAAAACACAACCCCCACCCCACCAGTTAAGATGCTGATGAGCTCTGCATTACCTCAGTAGTTCACAACAATGCAATATCAGGAAGCATGCCAGGCAAGGCATAATTCTCATGGTCTAACAATGGGGTCTGTCATGACAGAGCACCAAGTATCCAAGCAAGAACTAAACAATAGACTGTGCAACTGTGAATATTTCTGAACTGTTACAGACATTTGTAATCAATGGAATCAGTGGTAAATAAATCCACTTCCAACCCAAACCTATTGTGTAGTCACCCCCATGTGACAATATTGTGACATGTTGCGCAACGGACAACCCCTCCCTCCCCCAGCAGTAACATGGCAGCTCTGACCACGGTGACGTAGCCTCCCCACCCGGGCTGCGTGGCACCGCTTCCTACTGTGACGTAACACGCAATGCCGCAATTGCTACGTACCCGTAAACAACTCCCATCAGCGTTGCTAGCAACATGGCGCCAAACAACAGTGGTGCCTGTTACGTGGCTGTTTTCTGTGTTGTCCAGAACGAGGGTTTATATAAGGGAACTACACAGCCACTGAAGACAGTTAAAGTGTATCAGCGGCCGAAGACAGTTCTCCACAGCAGTGAACGAGTAAAAGTGTGTGATCGACAGTTCTCAAGTTACAAGTTAGCCAGGCAGTCAACCTTTCAGTTGTAGTCTAGCCTTCGTAGGCCAAGTAATTGTAATACTGCAGATAGCAGTAATTGTGAGATTGTAAACTGTGTGATTGTAAGAGCGAATGTACAATAAAATTTGCTATATCCAATAAGGCGTGAAGTTATTTGTCGCGTTATACACCCAACACATGACAATATGTTTAATTTAAACACATTTTAATTTAATTAGCATAACTAATTACACAGGTTCACCAAACTGCTGAGAATACTGTAAAATAATTCCCTCCTATACAGGCTTTCTTGAAGTGTATAAATGGATGATGAACTGTCTCGCTGTACTCCCAGTTTTTCTCCAAAATCTGATGGATGCAAAAAGAAACTGATCAGTAGCTGATCTATTACGTTGAAATTCATACTGATGATCTCTAGTAATTTCAATTGCACACAGAGTTAATCTACAGAGAAGAATGCTAGATAAAATTTTGTCTGCGGTTGACAACAATAATCTGCCTGATAATTATTACTGTCCCTTTTCAACCCATTTGTATCAACAGGTATAACAGCTTCCTTTCACTGCTGTGGCAATTCTTTCCTATTCCAAATATAAATAGGAAGTTTTTGGATCTCAGAACACAATTTTTCACTTCATATTTAGACTAATTTTACTGTAATTAGATCAATACCTAGTGATTTATATCTTTTCCACTTTTGAATAGCAATATCAATCTCACAAGAATTAGGCCCAGGTACTGAAGGATCTGCTGTGCATATTATGGTCTGCCTAATATCCTTAATCCTACATACATTCAACAGCTGATAAAAGTACCATAATTCTTCCTCCTATACAAAATACTTGTAATCTGACAACCTGTAAGCAAATCTTCCACCTCATTTCTTACAAAGTTAGTCTTAGATTGGTAATCTTTCTTAAATTACCGGTCACAGTAGCTGCATGGCCTAAGGCATGAGCTGTCTTTGCTCACTTGGATGCTGGGATCATGGGTTCGAATCCCACTCAAGGCATGGATGTTTGGTGTGTGTATGTGTTTTTCTGTGTGTGTGTTGTCCTGTTTTTAGGTAGTGGCCTTGTGATGGGCTGATCACTTGTCCAGGGAATCCTGCCATCTGTGAAAAATGTTTATGAAACTGAGGGTCTGAGTATGGAAACAGAGGAATGACCATTGTTGGAGCCATTATCAGGCAACTACTACTGAAGACACTAAGGGCTGGAAAAGACTTAGAGCGTGCTCTAGTGATTTGTAAAGTATAAAACTCAGTGATGGTGCTACAATTAAGTGTTATGTGTTAAAGTTGTTAATAAATCCAATACCCAATACAAAAATCGTGGAAATATCCACATTCCAACATGAGACAACTGGTGTCACAAGTGGGAGTAAATTGGACTGATTGATTGATATAACTGAGTTGTGAATTGTGCAGTGTCATAGTTCAACCCATGAGACGGATAATTATGGCAGATTTCAAACATCTGAGAGCTGAAATAAGAGGACTTCAAGCAATGATACATAACAACCAAGCCAAAATAGGGGCTGTAATAAAAGCCATTCAAGACAGACAAGAGGAAATTAGATCTGGCAAAGTGAAAATGAAAGCCACGGTAAGTGCCACCTTAAAAAAGATGAAGTCATAGCAAGAAGAGAACATGATTTGCCTGGTAGAAGTGGAGGCCATGGATTAGAAGGCAAATCCCTAAGAAAAAGAGACTGCAGCAGAGCAGTAAGAAGTTCCTAAAGAAGAGGCTGCATTGAAAACTGTCACAGTACTGAAGAAGCAGTATGAGGACTGGCATCTAGCCACAGTGCTGTTGACAGCTGCAGAAATGGACCCAGGGCAGTGGTGAGTCCTGGAAGAGGGCTGTAATGCTGAGTGGTAGGTAAGTACATATCTGAAGAGACTTGCATTTCTTAGTGACAAACTTTATTCACTGTATTAAAAGGGTTAAGATATTCAGAAAAGCAAATGATGATGGCAATGACAGTAGCACATGAAGCTCAGAAGTCAGCACCACCCAAGAAATGATGTTTCTTGACAGAAAGTGTAACATTCATTTAAATGGTTGTCACATACGAAAGACACTCCTACTACCATGATAGTGGAGTACAGGGTTATATTCTGAACATTTAAGTACACTCAACTCTCGATTCTCCGGGATAATGGTGGGGATGGAAATCACGATTGATCGAAAACCTGGTTAAGACAAATTTTATTAAAAGTAGTACTGTAATACTGTACCTTCATAATACCTACCTACCTACCTACCTGTATTTAAATTTATTCAACATCATTTTTATGTCATCTCATGGCCTATTTAATACTTTTTTTACATTACACTGAAGTATGAATTAGTTATTTCAATCACAGTGTTCAACAACATCCAACACTTTTTACGAATATTCACACTTAACACTTAAAAAAAATTTAATATTGTCAGATCAGCATTGCTTTGTCGAGATCATCAAATGTTGATTTTTTCATGGTTTTTCTCTTCTTCATTCCACTTGAATTAGAAGAGGAAGCAAAGGAAATTAAATGATTCTTTTATTTTTTCAAATCACAAACAGTTTGTTCTCCAATACCGTATTGCATTGCTAATGGTTTAACTACACCTCTTTTTCCCAACTGATTGATAATTTCAAGTTTCTGTTGAATACTTAACACAACATGCTTCCTTTTACACCCTGACATTTTGCTAACGCACTTGAAGATCGATACAAAGAGACTAACTGGGGCGGTGTATCTGTCCTTGAAACTTTCCACAAATCCTTGCAGTCTTTCACCCATACCCTAGAACACTGTGTTAGCATAACGGGACCAAAAAATGCAGAGCTCAGTTCACACTAGTGCGAAAATAGTGTTACAACTCACCATGTGAAACAAAAGTGAATGAATATTAAACAATACATAAGCCTCAAAAAAGCCCTGGTTAAGCCGCAAACTGGTTTATCTGCCCCCGGATAATCGAGAGTTGAGCGTACTCATAAAATCCATCATATTATAAAATCTATAACTCACCTCTTTCATTTAATGCTTCCTTGTCACGTGTTATTTGTGTCAATGAATCTCTAAGAGATCTAATTTGTTCCTCCTTTGCCTCCAGTTCTCTATGGATTGTCATTTTATTTTCAGCTAGAGATAGGGCAGCTTCTTCTTCCCTTTTGTGCAATGTATCCAGTGCTTCCATCAACTTCGTTATCTCCTGTTGAGCTGTTGTTAGATTTTCAGTTAATGTTGATACATGTGCATTGCTTGATTCCTGTTTGTGTGTTAAAAAACAAGATAATTGTCCTCCTCATAAATTCTGAAGTCTCATAGGAAATTTTAATTTCCAAAGCACTGTGATATTCTGTGCCTAATTGTAACAAGCTCTGGTATTACAACCTGTGGATTTTAAACCAGCCATCTTCAGACTCCAGAAAATTCAATTCACATCACTGCACTCTACTTTCAAAAGATCTGATTTAATATTAACTTTTTTTACCAGCCACAGTCCTCCTTGTGGCCACTATCCAAGGTGCTTCCTCCACCAAATTCTGGTTGCATTTGTCCTCATATCTGTGATACCTGACCAATATAATGAAACTTGCTTGACTTAAATATCCCAAAACTAATGAAAACTCATTTACATAATATGTAGTTGACTTACTGACCCTGTCAGTAATGCAGGCCATATAGCATCAAGTGATGGATCATGAAAAATGAATTGAAAAAGATGTGGAAGGATCTGCCATTGATCTAATTTAAGATACATTTGCCTGGAGGGACTGGAGAAAACTATGAATAACCTCAGTCATTTTCATTCCCCATAGAATGGACAATACTTTGTAAGATGAGGCACTGACTAAATAATTAACATTAATATTACTACATCTACATCACCAGCCTCCAAAACAGTTTATTATATATACATAAAATATAGAATACTCAAATTTGTCTGTGGGAACACAACAAAATCACAAAAACCAACGACGGACTCAATGATGTAAAGCATCACTCAAAGAATATTATTCTTGTTTTATATAATCTAATTTACTGTATTTTTATGCCAAGTATTTTAGTATAATTAATACTATTGTATCCAATTTTATTAGTACTGCAGTTCAGTGGTGTATATATGTTAGCCATGTATTTGCCTGATGATGGCTTTTAATAGCCGAAACATTTAGCAGAGCCAAACTAGGCATTGACCTTAATATAGTTGTGCTGCGACAGTTTTAATAAAGAAATTGTCAGTCAGGATACTTGGTGCACTGGCCGAAATTCAAATCTGGCACCTCCTGACTACAATTTAGAAGCGCTATGAACTTCAGCCAGTCTACTTCACATGAAAAGTATATTTTACTGTAATTTATTTCTTAACACAGTCAGGACATAGATTATATATCACTCATGGTATGACAGACAAATGATGAAATGTAAATGATTTAGAATTAAATAGTCATGGCCTAATCAATGTAATACCACAGCACATTCCTGAAGAAACTAAGGAAAAATTTAAAAAGCCCAGTGAAGATAGCTGATGTTGCTACCAAGATTTGAACTAAGCACCTCCAGAAGTTAAGTCCAGACCATTACTACTACACCAACCAGCATGATGAGTATAAGCCACACAATCAATATGTAACTTTCTCAGTTTCCCATACACTTCATTTCCTGAGTCAATTCATTTTTCCTTACATTTAGTTTTCAGTATGTACTTGTTAAATACTTTCTTCTTTTAGAATATGCAGCAATTTTCCAGAATAAATCACAAATTAATTTAGATATATTTCAGTGACTGTAAAAGTACTATTCATTTTACATTTTTCCATATTTAACCAATCAAGCAGAAGTTAAGTTGTCAGCATGTGATAAAAAATATCAATGGGCAACATACTGTTCAGTAAAATACGATTTTCCTTAAACCATCCTGTATCCATTGAATTCCACTATTCCTAATTCTGCCATGTAAGACCAAGTTCTACTCACCTTTGTATCTGTTAGGGTCTGCTGAAGCTGCTGATTCTCCACGCTGAGCTGGGATATGCGCTCCTTATTGCGTCTGATTGATTCCTTACATTTTCTGAGTAATGCCTCAAGTTTCCAAATTTTCTCTGTAAAATAACAAAGAGTCAGTTGCACACTAACCCAAAAATAGTAAGAAAGGAACAGTGAAGACAGCAACAGCCCAACAGATACATATGTAAGGAAAACCCACACTGTGAACTTTCTTGTAGGAGTACAAGATGAAAGACACGATGGTTACATGGCAGCATCATTCTATTTTTCTTGATGACTTGCTTCAGCAGCACATCCAGCTTGTGAATCGCTTGTGAACATTTCTCTTCCAAATTTAATTTAATTTCATAGTTCAATGACACTAACTGCTTATCTCAGCCAAGATAAAATACAATTTACATAAGCATTTGTCTGTTAATATAAACATATTACGATTACAACCCTCGCAGCCAAAAAGAAAGGACACATCACAAGACACAGTATACACAAAATACAGGAAAAACGACTCCCATAGTGGAAGAACCATACAATATGCGAGCTTGAATTAAGATGTATAAGATGAATAATCTTAACAAGTTTTAGTGCATACAAATTTTATTATAGTTGATGAAGAATGTACATTTTAATAATTTTATGAAAGACACATGATGGCAAGCAATGCAATAGCTTAGCATAAATAACGCACCTGAGGATGGCACAATGTTGCCGAAACATGTAGTGAAGTGACATGTGAAATTGAGTGCACTACAAGACGGCCATTACATACATATCGTGGATATTATGATATACAGACTAATTGCTGGGAAACAACTGTGAAACAAATGAGACAATGATCATTGCTAGGCAGTGGCCCACATGCAACAGTGGAAGTAGTTTTTTCTATGTTGTCTGCTCCAAGGCTTTATCACGCAATCAACTGAGTTCAGTTTAGTTAGTGCAGAGCAGTGGAGCAAGTTGGTGAGTGAGGGAGTTAGAGGGCTGCTGCAGTTAGTCCCTGGTAGCTGTGGCGTGGGGATATTTTTGGAACCCAGAGTAAGGGGAGTGTCCACTGCTGGAAGCCTAAGCAGAAGACTGCTGAAGACACAGCAGCCTGAGAAGACTTATTACATGCTGTTGTGAACTGCTGAGTGTGTAAATTAGTGATAGCACTGTAGTTACTTGTAGTTATGTTCTGTTAGTGTTCAATAAATCCAATTACCAATCCAAACTGAGTCTATAGTCACTCCAGCACATGACAGTACAGTTGTGTAAAAAGTAAGGTTTTAGTTACTACATAAATACTTAACCAAGAAAATTATAGAAGTTTCACTTGCCCTCAGAGCCTGTAATCCATTACTCTCTTTTCTGCATGCAACTTAATTTGTCATTCATTTAATGGCTCATATTCTAACTAATCCCCCAGTATTACAGAAAACATAAGTTTTTCACTGCTGTGTCACTGAATATCCAAGGCTGTGGTAAGCTGAATTCATTCTGGTGACATATAGAAAAAATGAATGTATACATTACAGGTAAGAGGCCTATAATAAGGCCATGTTCACATATTTTTGTAGGGAAAAAAAACACTAAGAGCCTCCAAAACATGATGTGGAACCACTGTTCATAGATTCAGCCTATCAGGTGAGTATCTAATTCTTTGCGGTGATGTGGTATTAAACCATGGTATCATAGGATAAGGATTTTATGAAGTGATACAGGGCAGTTAGTTAAAAAATGGTTAGTTCATGCATGGGTGTTTAGAACAGTAAAGATATGTGTTATTATTCCTATTAAAAAAAAGGAAAACATCTAAATACACTTGAGAAATACCATATTTACAAAGCTAGTAAAAAGATTTACATATGAATGACACTAACATCGACACACACAACCCTACATATGAAATACTATACAAAATTACACAACATAACACAACCCCCCCCCCCATCTCTCCCCACTCCTCACAACCAGAACATATAAATACAGGAACAATTACACAGCATCGGCACTAGTAAAGACAACACCACACACTGTGGAGGAAGCGCACACAAACCAGGAGCATGTGAGTACAAAAAGTAAACAAACATAACATAATAATAATAATAACAAATAGAAAACAACATTAATATATAAATTTATAAATTACAGATGGTAGTCAAAAACGGAAAGTAGACTACGAACGTGAGGGGCAAGCTGCCAAGAAAAACATCTTGATACATTTACGAATATGACGACACCCTGGGTGAGGTGGAGTAATATGCAACAGAAATTTTAAAGGATCTTATCCCATTTTACTTAAAAAGAAGACTACAGCATGTAATTTTAACACAAATTAAAACAGTATAGCGGTTTTTAACACAGTTTTAGTAAAATATCTATAACAGAAAAAACACCTGAAGATGGCCGTTTGAGGCCGACACATGTAGTGTTGAAGTGCGGAATGTAAAAGTGTTGCAATTTTGACAGAAGATAAACAATGGACACTAATTTGAACAATTGCAACAGGATGCTGAAATACAGAACTCTATTCAGTCTTTATGGTATGCATCCTGTTGTGTATAATTCACTAAAAGAATATTATTTGAGGCGGTCTACATAACAATAAGTTCAAAAATAAAAAAAGACAGAAACTATCATGTCAACATCTGCTTTATTTTGCTGCTGCTATCTTCCCTACATGTTTCAACCCTTACCTGGGTCATCCTCAGGCATACATGAATACCAAGTATTCAAGTATGAAGACGGGTTGAAACATGTGGCAAAGATATCAACAGCAAAATAAAGCACATGTTGACATGATAGTGTCTATCTTGTCTATTCAATATTTCTGATTAGGTCTGCAGTCTCTGAAAACATTTCACAGTTCCTCTGGCAGCAACTTATATTTGGCATATTACAAATAATTTTGGAAAAGAGCTGTCATAGGTTTTTACTTGCTTTTTGTTTACTCATACAATTCTGAACCTGAAAACACAAGTTTAACATTCAGAAGAATGGTACACAAACACACTCCAGCAACACAGTTTTTTGACCATAAGTCTACTAACTTTAAAAAATCTGACAACTTCTAGTGATTACATTCCTTAAAACTTATGTAGGCTTCTTTTAGGTGACACAGTATCAGATGTTTCTGAAGATAAAATTTCTTGCCTTCAAGTTAACAGAAATATAATCTTTTGCTCATGACATGATACTGCCAATTTCATTTCATACGTAAAACAGCTTCAACATTTGGGCTGTTGCAGGAAGGAGCATTTTGACTGGTTTCATATTTAGTGTTTACAAAATTCCTTCTCAGCCACTCATTTCTGGCAGTCCAGAACACTGAATCTGAGACTCTGAACACTTCTCAGATTCCTCTGATTGAATGTTTGGAAAAACCATCAAAATTTGAACCTCTTCACTCCTTCTTCCTGTTATGTAAATTTTTCAACTGTACTGCTGATTCCCCTTCACTCGAACTATTCCCACAACTGGAATCTGTAAAATTCAGTATTTTTCTTCTCATGGCTCCACTGACTTTCTTAAATTTTTCCTTTGGATACTTCATTTATGATAACTTTTTAGTGAAAAATGTTGACTCTTCTAATAACTCTGGCTTTCAGTTCAAGGAAGAGACAATCTGGATTTGCTCAATTTAAAATTGTTCAAGTCTTCCGTTCTGCTTATTTCACATTCTCAGCTTGAAGAGATGAGTGCCTAATTTCCAAAACTTCCATGCAAATTTGCAATAGTTTTCCTATATTTACAGGAGACTTCTTGTCCTTATGAATACCAGTAACCTTTCATCATCCAGCCAACACAGGTCCCAGGTTTTTCCTGGAACTTGCACTGTGACTGACATTCACACTTACATACCTGTAACATTTAAAATCACAGCTACCCTGTGCACATACATCTACACATTGCTAATATCCAATTCCTTTCTTTTCAGACATATGGTCTGCGGAAAAAATGGGGGAGGGGGGAGTGTACTGTCACACAATATTGCCAGTACAACAAGGCATAAGACTGAGGTAGATCATGATAAATTACATGCATGCCAGATGCTGAGGAACTGTGCACAAGCCCCAAAATAGACTACAGAACTTTAAAAAAATTGTGATACTGTATTCCTAGGAGCTCAATTCAAATAAACAAAATCACTAAAGAAAATTTGCCAAGATACTGCTGACAGCATACTGAGACTATCGTACTATAGAATAAGATGATTTATTACTGTCATCACAAAGTGCAGCCATGGGCCAGTTCAATGCAATCCTCACAACTTTACTAAGCTGTCTCTATCCTCTCATCCACATGGTAGCTTTACAACCAAAACTGTGTTTTGTGTAATAATCATATAGCAACAATTTGTGTTTACCTTTCAGTACTGTATCTGTCTCATTAACAGAAGCCTGCTCCTCTTGAAGCTGTTTGATTTGCATTGGTACAGCTAGCTCTCCTCCAGACAAGTCAATAAGTAGATTTTCTGAATAATTCACTTTTTGACTGCTTGGGTCATCTTCCTCCTTACCACCATTCAACTTCAACAATTCAATTTTTGTATTTAAAGTGCTGATCAAATGGTCTTTCTCTTCCAAATCATTTCTTAAGGCATCTTCTAAATGAGCTTTGGCTTTCTGCTCTAATTGGCACTGTTCCTTCAGCTCTGCAATCCTTCGTAATGCTTTATCCTGACTCTCCACCAACACAGTCTGAAAAAATATGGAATGTTCTCAGTAATGGAGTGGGCGATGATACCGATACCGAAAGTCGCAGTGGCGAAGATGCCTTTTACTCACAAAGTANTGATGTAAATCTCAAGAAGAAAAACATAACATCTCAGCGCTATAAATTCCATCAGATTTTAACAATGTATTTCTCAGAACATGTTTTTGCTGTTTGTGTGAATCCCACTCAAACACACAATAAATACATAAAATACATTGGCATGCATTACACAACCAAGCCTATGAACTGCACCTGCATTGCCGAGATACTAGTATCATTGTCATCACTGTCATCATCTTCGTCATTGTCACCACCAAGAGACGTCACTGATTACTACCATAGCATGAAAAGGCAACTCATCACTGGGTGCGATGCCAACACACACCACACATTATGGGAGAACATCAATCCCCGAGAAAGCTTCATAGAATATTCCGTGAGTTTAAACCTGAACATTCTTAATCAAGGTAACAAGCCTACATTTGAGGTTTGCAATCAACAGGAGGTTACTGACATGACAGTAGGTACAAATAAAGAGGAAACCTGGTAATTGGTATGCATCTGATGAGCCATCTTTGTCAGGCCACAGCTTCCAGATAGGTAACATAGCTACAACTAGAGTTACTTTCAGGAATCCCAAGAGAACCAATTAGGAGTCATACAAAGACCATCTAAGGGTAACTCCTGAGACCACTTCACAAAGTATATGCAAGATAGACAAAGATCTGGCTGCTGACCAGCTGCAACAGGCCATCATGTCCTAACATAACAACTGTCTAGCCAAGACCACTTGCTCACCAAGGAAAAATCTTGGTGGAATAAAAAGCTGATTGGCCTGAGGGCCAAAAGAAGAAGACTACTTAATTTAGCTAAAAGGACAGGCCAGTGGGATACTTATAAGGAAACCCTCAGCTGTTATGACAAAAGAAATTAGGAAAGGCAAACAATCTTCATGGAGGAGGTCCTACCAGCAGATCACTGATGTATGAGGCAGTCCCAGACTCATGAAGATCATGACAAAACAGGCAACCAACAGAGTGAGCATTATTAAGCTACCTGATCATCAATGCAAATAAAATGGAGGGGAAACTCTGAAAGAGCTATTCACAGTTAGTAATACTTGCAAAATAGTAATGTAAAATAATTATAATACTAGTCGAAAAGAGCGCCAGCCTGACACCGATACCGAAAGTCACAGTGGCGAAGATGCCTTTTACTCACAAAGTAATACTGGCTCAGTGGGTTTATACCTCTTCCAAGACATAAAATAAAAATGATATACAGAGAAATATATGACAGCCTAACACTGAACTTTTAACTGATAAAGAAATATTAGACAATCCGACACTGACTTCCTGACTGATAATTCGTCACTGAAAACCAATCCTTGAATCCATCACCCTCCTTGAAGGCTCTGGAAGCACTCATATGCAAGCACCAATCAATATTTCCTCATCAGTTCTCAAAACAAAGCTGGGCTATATTTGGCTGACCAGGTCATAAACAGTCATATCTAAACGTAAATAGTATCGAAACCAGTACTGTTCAGAGCTACGGAATGAGCCACTGACATGACCTTACGTAGGTTTGTTTTGGTTTCAAACACAAGGTCAAACTGTCAGCACTCCCAAAGATAGTACATGTATATATATATATAACATTCGACCAACTCAGGGTGCTGCTTGCTGCATATATACATATATAGAACATTTGGCCATTAAAGGTTAACAAGAGCTGGGCATCAATTTTAACATTCCCACTTTCCTCACACACTAACAGTCTCTACTGGGGGTTTCACAGCATACAATACTGCCATCTCAGGCTCATTTATCTAAAGAATACCAGTTTTTTCTGAAGGATCCAGTCTCCCTAAAAATTACATAATATTCTATGTGTCAGCCACACCCCAATTTTGGAAGATAAATTTTTGTCAAAAATGTGTGACTTATATAAATACAGCAATATATGTTGTTTTATATATGCAGTGTTTTCTTATTTGTATAGTACATATCTATGATGGAAAAATTCTTTACTCAGGTGATATATTATGCATCCTGTACCTTGGCTTTGACATTCTCTCGATCAAGTTCTTTGTAATGACGTGCTAAATCCATATATCGCCCTTTGTACTTTGTATAGCGTGTCTGCACCTTACGATATGCTGTATACAGCTGTTCTTTACTGATCCTGTCTAATTGGTGTCCAAGCGAATCCTCCACTTCACTTGCAGACTCTAGATCAGACTGAAAATAAGTATGAATAGAATTACAGTATTTGTGTACTACTTCATGATTTGTAACCATCACCTTCTCTGTCAGGATTTAATTCATTTATTTATTCATCTATCTATATTTGCAACCATCTTATACATGAAGTTAATGCATATAGGTATTCTCACATCCATCTACCCACGTGATTCAGTTACAAAACAAATGAAGAGACTTTGATGAAATATGGTAATGAAGGGCATTTCAAAAGTTGTCATATGTCTTGCATCACACCAGTTTAATACGAGGATTGGAACTTTAATAGCGGCAACTATTTATTTACAACTGAGACAAAATAGATGCATGTTTCGAAGTTTTACTGTCCTTCAATGTAGTCACCAGCATTGTGTACAACCCGTTGCCAGTGATGTGGAAGTCGTAGGATACCTTTAGCAGCGCCTGTTGTGTTGAGAGTTCGAATGGAGCGGTCTACTGCCTGAAGAATCTCTGGAACGGTTCTGAAGCAAATGCCATGAAGTGGTTCCTTCATCCTAGGAATCAAGTCAAAGTCACAAAGGCTTAAGTCCAGGAAGTATGGTGGATGGTACAGCACTTCCCAGACCCATCGATTGAACAAACCAGCCACAGCTTGCGCTGCATGCGGCCGAACATTATCCTGCAAATTGATGGGTGGGTTCTGCAGAAAGTGTCGCCGCTTCTTTCTCAAAGCTGGTTGCAGGTTGTGTTCCAGAAATGAACAGTAATACTGCGCACTGACAGTCTGCTGTTGGGGAACAGTATGCGTTAGGATAACACCATCACAGTTGTACATGAGAATCACCATAACTTTCACATTGCTGGGGTTCTGACGAACTTTTGATTTTTGTGGTGACCCATAATGATGCCATTCGTTCGATTGGCGTTTCATTTGTTACTCGTACGATTTGGCCCATGTCTCATCCAGTGTAATGATATGACATAAGAAAGCCCCTCCTTCATGCTCATAGCGCTCCAAGTGGTTACGGGCAGCGTTGTATCGTAGCCATTTCTGCATTTCCATCAAATCATGCAGAACCCATCATGATGCAATTTTTTTCATGCCCAGGCATTCCTTCAGAATGTCAAGCACAGTTGTATGCACTAATCCTGTCTCTCGGGCCAGCTCATGATTGATATGGTGTCGATCACTCTCCAGTAATGCGGAAAGAGCACTTCTTCACTGACACTAGGACGACCTGGCCAATGCATGTCTGCCACATTTTGGCATCCCTTGTTGAAGGCTTTTACCCACCTTGCCACTGTTCTGTAAGGCAATGCAGATTCCCCACAAGCCTCTTGAAGACCTTGATGACACTGCCCTTCTGCACGGATTCTGACACATTCAAGCTCTATCCAACTCCACTGTTCCTGTTTCGAAAACATCGTGACAACAATACATTCGACCGCCAGCTAACACAAGGCTCTGTTCTTCTCATCACTGCACATGCGCATGATGTGGGCAGGGAGAGTCCATTTACTCTGAGGTAAGGTAGGTATGTAACTAACATGTGGTATAAGTGACATTATTTGGTTCTGTTGCATGGCGTCTCTACAGCAGTGTTGCCTCTATTAAAGTTCCAACCCTCGTAAAACCGTATTTTACATGAAGCTCAAATAAACTGGATTTTCTCAGAAAGAGGTGATGATGCAAAAACTTAGCTATGCCATGAAGTGTAAGTTATCACAACTGTCATGCCATTGCCACCATAACGATCCTAACTTCTACTTTAGAAATTAATTTTACATGGTAAAATACTTAAATATATGGAAAATATCTGACCCTATGCACTGATCAGCTTTCCAACACAGATCTGCATCTGTAATAAATAAATATCAAGGCCAATGTGATAAGCAAAACTGTGAAGGATGAATTTAAAAACTAGTGTGTATTTCACTGGACTCTCTCTTTGTTCTCTTATTTGCTAGCTGCTAGCTCAACTCAAAACTATGACTGTCAAATGTGATATTTATAAAATAAGTATATACTTAGAAATGGAAAAGATAGTGTAAAAAGTAGTGACATTTTATATTAAGCTACTATCCCAGGATTCACCTGGAAAGATTCCAGAGTTCTTCAGGAGTGTATTCACAATCTGAAGCCACAAACAGTGACCTTTTAATTTTTATATGCCTGAATTACTGTAAACTTAGGTCTACCTGTTTGTGATAAATAAAGATGATAAGGTTAAAAACACAGGTAGTCATTTCTATCACACCTGTAGGCTAAATGAATTCAACACTGATGATTCAAAGATGGGAAAAAGTGAGGATGCATCACTGGTGACTGAACTTGTTGAAGAATGGCGTGATCTTCCACCAGCAGAGGGTACTGGAGGAGATAGTGGAATGTCTCCATACAAGTCCACTGATTGGAATCCTCCACTCCTTGAAGGTGAGTTCTGAGGTGTTTCTAGAAAGCAGGAAGGAACATTTTAAGTTCTTACCGCAAGAAACATGATTTCACCCTTTACTCCTAGGACAGCAGAATACAGTAAAATGTAGTACAAGCTCATTTAAAATCAAATATCCAGAAAAGAAATGGGCTTACAGCACCACAGACTAATGTTTTAAATGTAATGATCAAAGGGTTAGAAGAATGTAACTGACATACTATTACAGGCACATTCTAAAAAACATATTTAATGCAACCAGTCACATTTCCAAAAAATATAAGTTAAATGTACTAGACACTTAACAAATTTCACTCACCCATAGTCTCGCAGTATGTTCGATACAAAATCTTTTACAGGCAATTTAAACACTTGGTGACTAAACACAATACATTTCATGGCACAAACATAACACTGTTCCTGTGCTTAAACACAAATTCATGAAGATCTATGGAAGAGCAGGAACAGAGTTCCACGCCTTCCCAACCTAGCATTAAAATGAGATGTCATGCCCCAGCTGCTTTACCCTTGTATTCTAGGGGAAATATTCTGAAATCACTGGATTACTGACTGAATAACTCCAAGGAGTAAAACCCTTCTTGAGGGCTAATACTCATTCAGCTACTCCAAAAAACTGCCCATCTCTCATGGAACTCAATGGTTCATTACCATGTTCACAAAAGTCTGTCAGTGATCCCTATCCTGAGCCAAACAAATCCAGTCAATACTACTCCACAATACTTCAAGTTCAAATTTAATATTATAATCTCAGTTATACCTAGGTCTTTCAAGTAGTTCCTTTCCTTCAGGATTTTCAACCAGATCTTTGTATGCATTTCCTTCTCTCCTCTCCTTGCCTGTGCATGCTATATGCTATGTCAATCTCATCTTCCTTAATTTGATCATTCTACTTATGTTCAGTGACCTCCTCTGTAGTCTAGTGGTCAGAGTTCCTGGCTACATATTTAGAGGTTCTGGGTTCGATTCCCGGCACTACCAGATTTTCTGAGAAGTAGTGGGTCTGGAATGGGGTCCACTCAGCCTTGTGAGGATAACTAAGGTGCTATTTCAAGGAAATAGGGGCTCCAGTCTAGAAAACTGAAATTAATGGCCATGGGGATCCATTGCACTGACCATGTGGCACCCTCTATCCGCAAAAGTTGGCACTAACTTCGCCGACAAGCGGCAGACGCTCAGCCGGCCTAAGGGTAGTTAGAAGAGTGACTGGACTAGAGACTGTCCGCACGTTATACATAGGTCATTTCAGAAATAATGCACACAATTTTTTGTTTACGTCCATGTTTATTTTTTTTAATATCTCTTTACAGTCCTTCAATAGTCCCCCTGCTTCTCAATGACTGAGTCCCAATGTGTGGGAAGCTTTATTATTCCATCCAGGACACCATCTTTGTTCATCTGTGAATGGCTCGGGTACCTGCGGCAGAAAGCTCTTCCAGAGAGGGAAAACGACAACCTTGCATAGGGTGTTTCAACTTTGGGAATAAGTTGAAGTCTGGTGGACTCATGTCCGGGCTGTAGGGAGCATGAGGAAACACCTCCCAACCGCACTGGCGCAGCATTTCTGTTACATTCCCGATGTGTGGGCGAGCGTTGTCATGGAAAATGATCGGCCCAGCCTCGAGCAACTGAGGTCAGTTTTTATGCTTTTTTCTGCACAGATTTTGCATAAAGTCACGATAATAAACTGCTGTCACTGGCGCAGCATTTCTGTTACATTCCCGATGTGTGGGTGAGCGTTGTCATGGAGAATGATCGGCCCAGCCTCGAGCAACTGAGGTCAGTTTTTATGCTTTTTTCTGCACAGATTTTGCATAAAGTCACGATAATAAACTGCTGTGACACTTTTCCTGCACAGAACTCTGTCTGTCAGATGATTCCTTGGTGATCGTAAGCAAAGATCGTCATTTGTTTGACCTTTGATTGAGATCGTCGAAAAAACGACTAGCCCAGTGAGAAACTTTACTACGGTCCACTGTTAACTCACCACAAACTTAACTTAAAGCACTGTGGATTTCTGTCTAGTTTCTTCCACGTAAAGTTTCGATTTTAATGTAAGACCTTTGATTTTCAACAGTCACAGTACCCGAGAACTGTGCAGGCTCCATTTCTAACTCACGTTATTTAAGAACAGAGTACATTATAAATGAAACAAAATAATGCGCGCTTCTTTCTCAAGCCCTGAACTGTAACTGACATGAGGCTCACTGTTGTTGTGTCCTCTAATCCGCAGTGTTGGCAACCTGTGCATTATTTATGAGATGACCCATGTATTATGCTTATTTCCAATCTTTGTTATCATATGGACTGATATTCTGGGGCAACTCAGTAAATGCAAAACTGATCTTTAAATTACAGAAGAGAGCTATAGGAGCTATGACTCAGATCCCAAAAACAACTAGTTGTAAACAAATTTTCAAATCATTACATATATTACCTCTACCATCTTTGTACATATATGAAACTCTAATATACACAAAATCCAATTTGAATGATTTCACAACAAACTCAAGATTACACTCATACAACACAAGGAAAAAAACAACTTGCACATCATCCCATGTAATACAAGCCTATGCAAGAACAACTTTAACAATGTAGGACTTCGACTGCTAAATCATCTGCCACAATATATTAAACAAATACCGGTACTATATAAGTTCAAAAACACCTTGAAAGCTCACCTACTCGATCATTGTTTTTATAAAGTGGATGAGTTTCTCTCTTGTGAGACAAACACTAATCAATTATAATCACATAATTCATGAATAGTCGGTTTTGGGAATCCCTACTGCGCAGTTTTCCTTTCTTTTTTCCAGCAACCAAGACAACACAGTCGGAGATGTACCTGAATGGGCTACTCTGGAGAGACTGCAGATACCAAGAAGCTGCACCAGGAAGGGAGAACAGATGTAATGAGATGTTGCAGTGTAGAGTCTACAATGAAACATTATACCAGTGCTATCACCAAATTTAACAATACAGGACTACAATAAATGATTCATTCGTTTTTAAAACGCTATATTTTCTGAAGTATTAAACATACAAATATGATTGATATATAAAAAGAACCGTAAGCTCACCAAGTTTGTATTGGAACATCAATGTTCATCACTACCTAAACAATGAACTTCGGCATCGCTGGATTGGGCGTGTTGGTGAGGATGACGTAGCTCTGTTCACTTGGCCCCCAGATCACCTGATCTAATGCCTTGTGACTTTTTCCTTTGGGGGTACATTAAGGATCGTGTTTACGTACCCCCACTGCCAAGAACACTAGTAGAGCTGAGGGAATGCATCGATGCTGCAGTGATGACCACTGACAGGATGACGCTACAAAATGTGTGGAACGAGCTCGACTACAGCCTGGACGTGTGTCATGTGACCCAAGGGGCACACGTAGAACATTTGTACAGTGTGAAGAAAACTTAGTGAGTTTATGGTTGTTTTTATATATCAATCATATTTGTACGTGTAATGCTTTGGAAAATATAGCGTTTTAAAAATGAATGAATCATTTATAGTAGCCCTGTATTATTTCTAAGGCCACGCCATAGCTTAAGCGGTTAGTCGCTGGCTTCCCACCTCTTAGGTCTAGTCAAGTGGGATTTGTGATGGATAAAGTGGCGCTGGGGCAGGTTTTCTCCAAGTACTTCGGTTTCCCCTGCCAATCCTCATTCCATCAAATTCTCCATAAGCATAATCATCGGTATGGGTACAATAGGACATATGGAGGCCAACGTGCCAAGGGGACCTAATATGGATTCCACCTCACACTATGCAAATTCTAACTATTGTAATCTACTGTAAACAATTAACTTTACTCTCTTATTGTAATCCGCCAATGTACAGCAACTGACTTGTCCTATATCATGTAACAATGATCTATAGAGACGAAATAAATAAATAAACTAAATAAATAGATGACAAAAAAAAAAAGTTGCAACGTGCAATAATGATCATGACCTATGTATTAAGAAGACCTAACAAAGTAAGCTTTTATTGTAAAAAATATTAATAAATATATTTTATAAAGATATAACTTGTAATTGTTGACAGTATTTAAGATTGATAAAAACTGTAAAGCTAATTTCCTGTAAGTGTCATGCCTCTGAGAGAGGAGCCAAAGGGGATGAAACACTTAAGGCTATAATTCTAATTTGGTCTGTTCTATTAAATGTGTTACACTGGATGACTTATTATTATAGTAATTACTAAAATTGTAATGGTCGTCACACACTGTAATAATTAACCTGTGTCCTTATCGTGCCCCACTTACCTTCACCCGCATCACCAATGCTAAAATGATCATTTGGGGTTCCTTCAACACTGGAACTATTTGATGGAGACACCACTGCCTAAAAAGTTTTAAAAACATTCTTATTAAATTATCCTTTAAAATGTTCGAAGGACCCGTCACATTAAAATTGGCTAACATGGTAACTATTTGACAACGTACATCACTATATGGTATCTGCAGTAAACGAACCTGGGCCAGTTGCTGGACAGACGCAGAGAGCTTCAAAGGAGACTGCTTTACTTCCTCCGCTATTTTGCTTTTAAGCTTTGCAAACATATTTACACAAGTTACAATTGATAACGTCGATGTTTACGTGGATGCTCTTCATTGTAACTGTGCTGCCTCCCATATCTGGTGGCACATTATTGAACTTAGCACTTCATAATGTTTATCTATTTCTCAGGAGATGTCACGTTAAGTATAAAGCAGGGGTGCAAATAGAACTTGAGTAGAGAAGTTCGGAACCAATGCATAATTTACATTTGGACTAGGTTCCGTTACTAAATCTTAAAATAAATTTCTGATACGTAACAACGAAGCTTAGTGGAGGTCTTGAAATCATTTCTGTGGGATACTATACTTAAAATAAGGTAATGTTATGGGAAAGTTACTCTTGCACTACCTAACTAATATGTGCTGTTTGGGGGCTTTGGTCGTTATTCCAATCTACCGCAATCTAAAGATCTATAGGATATGTAGGATCTGTAGGATACTATAAAAGATAGCAGCCCAATTACTATTTTGCTTACAATCGGTTGATATCTCGTTTAATTCGATGTCACTTTAGTGATCTGTGTCATTTAGTGACGTAATTGAAAGCTTAATCATTGATTGCGAATGGTGGTAATAGTCGTAGTCGTCGTAGTCGTCGGTCATCGTCGTTGTTCTGGTTCTTGTCAGAGTTGTGCAGTCAGGTCAGATGGGTCAGATTGATGGTGTTAATAGAAAGTACTGAGCGGTACTGAGGGTACTGAGCAATACGTAGTTTGAGTATTGGGTTTATTCGGTGAAATTCTGAAAGGACAGTTGCCCAGTTACTGTTCAGGGTCGAATGATTTCTTGCCTGAATTTTGTATTGGAAAGAAATTATACATAGTGCGCGTAATATATAAAAGATTCATCTTGCCGAAAGTAGACAATTTTATTACTCGTGATGGGTGTCGTGTATTTCATATTTAAAACCTTATATCTATGGACGCTTATATTTTTACTTATTGCTTTAATGCCGGGATTGCCACCCTACGTTCAGTTTACCGAATTTAGAGTTACTGAACCACTTCCATTGATGGGGTCACTGAGTTTAAACTCTGTACTAAATAATGCTGAACGTTTATTCAGCGGTAAAGTGCATGGCCCAGAAGCGTTTGAAGACCACAAAGGAGTTTTGTATACAGGGATACATGGAGGAGAAATAGTGAAGTTTGTTGATGGTAAAATAATCCCAGTAGTAAAATTTGGTCAAGTCTGTGATGGTTTCTGGGAAGAAAAGAAGTGTGGACGGCCACTAGGAATTAGGTTTGGCCCGGATGGTCACCTTTATGTCGCTGATGCATACTATGGATTGTTTAAAGTCAATGTAAACAGTGGTGCAAAAACACAACTTGTGTCAACTGATGATCCAGTTGAAGGAAAGATTAATAAACTTCCCAATTCACTTGATATAGCCAATGATGGTACTGTCTACTGGACAACTTCAAGTTGCAACTTTCATCTTGACAATGGTGTCTTTGATATGCTTGCAGATGGAAGTGGCAGGTTGGTGGAGATTTTAGTTACATACTTTGAACTAAAAATCCAAGCTTTACAGAATCATTTACTCAGAGCATGTTGGTATTGTACATTTGACTTTATGTTTCTTGTCTTTCAAGCCTTTAAAAATTAAATGGCTACATAATGTACCAAAAATACCTATCTGTGTTGTATTTCAGTAAGGACTGAATCCACACATACCTTCACCAAAAACATAAATCATGAGTACAGAAAGGTCTCTTGCCATTGGTTGTTCATATAATACAAGAAACATNGAGTAAATCTAAACTGTTTTCATAGGACACATGTCCTAGTTTATCAGAAGGTTCCAATTCCTGACTTCTTTATGCAGTTCTTCTTTCCTCCATTCATGGCACTCTTTTAACTCCTCATGACCTGAACTGAATAACCCTAATAATACAAGAGAAGTATGGGCAGAAAAACTTCAAAGTATACCTCTCTAAATCCAGGGTTTTACCTAGTTTCTTTACTAACATAATCTCTTAAGTGTACTGATCATTGTGATCTGTTGCTGAATTATGGTTTTATTTATGTTTATTGGCCTGTACCCACGTAACACATCTAGGCACTTTGCTATGGAGATATACTTTATGAGCTATAGAATTCCTCATTATATAATTTTATCCATTTTACCCATTGTCTCATAGGGCAAAATATAATCCCTAACATTCAGTTCTCCAAAGAGTTTCAGTTTATGTTCAGCTTTATTTCTCCACATAAATGAGGGTAAAACCAGATAAAAATTTGATATGCATTTTTATGTTCGTTACCACAATAACAAGGACCTACCACCAAATTCTCTACTTAGCTGACTTAATGGATTATTTATTGCTACAATGTATTCTAAAAGATTAGGACATGAGTTTTGTGTATGATGTCTGTCTCCCCAGTGCAGATTACATGCCAGTTCTATCTTAAGCTATGGACTCAGAATGTGAAGAGTATGAGACAATTTTATTCTAAATTTCACTTTTACTTAATCTTTTTAACTATCTTAGGGCATTATTTTGAGTTACTTTATGTTTTGTGCCATTTTCTATATTAAATTTAAGTTACTTTAATTTGTTTATTTACAGGCTGTTAAAATATGACCCTAAAACAAGTAGCAATGAAGTGCTCATTGATGGTCTGCACTTTGCCAATGGTGTCGTTCTGTCTCCAAAAGAAGATTTTGTGCTGGTTGCAGAAACAGCAAGAAGCCGTATACACAGGTATTATGTGAAGGGTCCTAAGAAGGGAAGTCGAGATATTTTTATAGATGGTCTCCCAGGTCTTCCAGACAACTTGAAGTCTGATGGTCAAGGAGGATTTCTGGTTCCGCTGGTTGTGCTTAGAGACCAGAGTAACCCCGTGCTATTCCAGAGTCTTGGGCCATTCCCTCTACTAAGGAAGTTCATAGCACGTGTTCTAGCTCTAATGGAAATGTCATTTGAGCAGATCGACAAAATATATCCAAACTATTATGCCAAGAGAATTGTTCACTGGATTGGTCACTTTGAATCTGTAAATGAACTTGCTAAAAAGGGTACTATTGTCCTGCAGCTTGATGTAGATGGCAAAATTAAACACAGTTATCATAATACAGATGGATCTTTATCTGGAATTAGTGAAGCTCATTGGTTTGATGGAGCATTCTTCTTTGGCTCTCCATACAATACATATGTTGGACAAGTGAAACTGTCATTTGCTGAGCCTCAAAAAATCATGCAAGAAAAAAAACCTGAACAACAAAAGGAGCAGCAGCCAAAAAAACAACAGCAAGAACCATCGCAACCACCACAACAGCAGCAACAACAACAGAAACCAACACTGCAGCAGCAGCAGCAACAACAACATCCACCACCACAGCAGGAACAAAAGCCACCAGCATCTCCTCCACTGCAACAACAGAAACCATCACCATCAAAGCAGCAACAACAGCAACAACAACAAAATAAACCCTAACCAGAGTAACAAAATAAAAAGAATCAGAAATTCTTGTTAAAGGCAGTTTGAGAACTGTACTTTTCTTAGATCTGTGTTTGGTGATTGGTTTGGTGCAGGTAATAAGCGTATTTCTTGATGAGAAACATTCGATTTCTAGACTGTGTCAATGTTTGCAAGACAGCATGTTTAAAACTTTATTTTGTTTGCATTTACATTACAGATATATATTTTTTATATTTTTATACATAGCTTGGGACAGTTGTACTATGTTTTTCAATTGCAAACTATCACACATGTCTTGCATTGTTGCCATAATCTTACAAATAAGTAGTTCATGCAGGCAACCAAAAGAAAAAAAGAAAAACTAAAATAATTGTCCATTTTATTGATTGGTGTAATATGGTATGGAACCTGCCATAATTATGTTTAAGAACGTGTTCATGGTACTTTTCAGCAATAGAAGACAGATAAGTGTACATTTGATATTGTCACGTGTTTCCTGTGTGGCGTAACAAATAACTCGCGCCACTTCGGATTTAGTGAATATTCATTGTACATTTTTATCCACACTTACATAATTCACAGTGTCACATTTACTTCTTCTGCTATAGTCCTTTCAGACTTCAACTGTACTCGGCGACTGTCAGCCTTCAACTAAACTCCTTAGGCATTCCAGTTACTGTTATAAACCCTCAGTCGGGCAGTGGAAACACACCTCGCTTCACTGTTGTGTAATTGCTGTTTACAGAAGCGTTGCTGCACAACGCTGCATAGCAACCAGCGCACTTCAGCTCGACATGGACAAACAACGGTTTGACATGTCACAATATTATTGCGCCATTGACACATTATTAAGAATTAAAAAAAATAGTTAATTGAAGAAATTTATTGTTGATTTTTTTCATATTCCTATGGTCATGTTTTCTGAATATGAAGCAGCTATTGGTGGTTACTTGTTGACAGTTGTAATCATTGTTGCAGTTCTTTTATATCAAGTTACTGTGTGGTCAGTTTTGTTACGTCTGTTTCGTATGTTTATGTTTTGTGTCACATTAAAATAATTGACTGTTAAAATGTTTCTTTGCATATAAAATTATTATCAGGCTTAGCTAACCAATAAAATTTCGTCTTATCCTCTTATTTTTTCTCACATGTCATCACCCACACATAAAGCATACAAAACCATGACACTTATATTTTGCCAGTCAGCATAAACATGGCAGAAACAAATGTGAGATGTTATAGACACAACAGAAACAGCAACTGAATTGTCAATCCAGTTATGAAATGTCAGTTTTTCCTTGAAAGCCAGAAAATATTTCATTTTCAACAACAAAAAAATTTAAGTCTGCTCTTTTATGCAAACCTTATTTAAATTCCTGACATTTTAGAGCAGCTTTAATATTATTAAAGATTTAATTACTTAGTGCTCGTCAACTTTCTGCAGTTGTAATGTGAACTTTGAAGACTGTTTCTTAAGCTATTAAAAAAATCCCCATTGTATTAAAATTGTTTGGCATGTGTCACTTCACTCTTTCCTTTCACATGGAGCAAACCTTTTGCATACAGCAGATGCAAATGCCATAACTTGAATGTTAAACATTTGACATTTGTGCAACTTACCCTTTACTACATCCTTCAGCCCTAGTCCAACTCTATTTTCCTCCATGATTTATTCTAACTGTCTTACAGTGCATACATTTATTCACCTTACTCTTCTCTCTTATACATGTTTCAGCACAAAAGTGCCATCTTCAGGTGCTTTTCGTTTTCGTCTATTTTCCTTCCTTGGCACCATTCTAAATAATACAAGGGAGAGTCAGTAAATATGTCACAAATTGAAGTAAAACAGCTGTACTGCACATAATAGGTTTTTTATGTGCATCGTTAGGTAGTAGGCATGCATGCACATGTTCAGAGGCTGGTTTCAGTAGTCAAAATGGCATCCATGCTTGAGTGTGCTACTGAAGGGTTGCATTCTGTTGTGTGTCCTTTGTGGGCAAATGGAAGCAATGCAAAGAATGTTCATAAAGAAATGTTTCCTGTTTACAGTGGGAAATGTTTGTCATGTAAAGCTGTTCACAACTGGGTCAAGAAATTCTCTCAGATGTTTGAAAGTCGCAGATGATGCCCAACCAGATCACTCTGTTTAGATTGCAAAAGGAGCAATTGTTCAGCCGGTGGAAGAGTTGATTTGAGCTGACAGGATGATGACGATAGTGTAGCAACTGCACTGGGGTGGTCCAAGGGTTAATGCATAATCGTTTGAGTTTCAGAAAGCACATGGTGGGTGCCCAGAGAACTGAAGGACTGAGAAAATTGAAGCAAATGGGGTGAAAATATTGATACTGGGGACAAATCATGGGTGCATCACTACCAACATGAACTGAAGCTGCTTCAGTGTAGTGGAAACATCCCAGTTTACCTTCAATCAAAAAGTTCAGTTAACACTGTCAGCTGGGAAGGTTATGCTTACCTTGTTTTGGGATTCTCAGGGAGTACTGTTAGCCCATTTTCAGAAGCATTGTGAAAATGTGAATTCTGTATCATACTGTGAAGTTTGGTTGAAGCTTGAGGATGCAATTCGCAGAATGTCCAGGCCAACTGGAAAAAGGAATACTGCTTCATCATGACAGTGCCAGACCACATACAGCCTGAGGAACCCAGGAAAGAATTAAAGAACTACAGTGGCAACTTCTTGAACCTTTGCCTTACAGCCCAGACTAGGCCCCTAGTGATGTCCATATGTTTGGTCTGCTAATAAACCACCTTGGTGGCAGACGTTTTGCTGAAGAAGAGGTTACAATGGAGGAGGGGAAGTAGCTGAGACAACAGTCAAAAGACTTCTATGTTGCTGGTTTTGATGCATTGGTAAAGCAATGGGACAAGTGTATCAATGTTGGTGGAGGATACGTTGAGAAACAAATTCTTTTTCAACGTTCGAATATCACATGTTTTACATTTTATATCCATTTGTGACCTATTTACTGACTCTCCCTCATAGCTTATGCAGCACAGTACAGAATTGCATAATTCTTTTTGAAGTATTTGTCATTGTGGAGTTCTCTTTATAATTCTGAAGAAGCAAGTATGTCCTTCAGAATCATATTAGTAAACTTAATTTGCCCATCCTCATATTCAGCTGTGGACATCAGAGCTGGCATAGGCACTAAGCAACCAAATGTCATGTAACACTGTATGAACATCACTCCATTAGAAATATCATCTTTGTAATACAGTGTTAATACGGTAACTGTTTGATAAAATGGACAGTAATAACATGGAAACCTTGGAAATATTTTGAATTTATATGACATTACAAACACATTTAGTAGTAGTACTAATACTCATTAAGCTATCAAATTCTAATTCTAGGGGAATCCAGAATGCTGTGGTTGGTTGGTTAGTATTCTGGCTTTGTATTTGAGGGAGCCCCAGTTTGATTCTGAACTAGGTGACCAGTATCCTCAGTCCCTGCAGGCAGATGTTGGGAGAGTACCTTAAAATGGTCCATGGCCAGTTTCACATCCTTTCCAGCTCCAAGATTTCATTCAATGCCGTACAGCCTCTGTAGGTGAGAATGCTGCTTTAAATACAACAGACCCTTGATTAACCATGGGACTTTCAAAATTGCTTGGTTAATGATTATAAGTACATTCTAAAGGGTTCTGACAATGGCGTATAACACTCACAATTACTGGGATTTTGGTCTTTGTCCATCATCCAGTATTCTAAAATCCAGAGAACAGTGTTTCGGAAACTGAGACCGTTTCTGTCCTCAGGTGAAGGGGGATATACCTACTGTGTTGAGTCCCTTAGAAAGAGCTAATGAAAGACTGAAGGTAGTTGTTTCTGAGCGACCCAACAGAACAGGTATCTCCTCACTCACCTGAGGACAGAAATAGATCTTTTCCAAAACACTGTGTTCTCTAATTTTTAGAATACTGGACCATGGATACAGTCAAAGAACCAAGTAATTCTTAACGATTATAGCTTGTCATAATGATTTAAATGTTGCACACTACATCTCTGTCAGTAATAGGTATCAATTATGATTTACAGTGATTTGCAGTAGACTGTACATATTCTCACCCTGTTGCAAATTTCCATTTTACTGTCTTAATTGCTGTTCTTGGAAGTTTACTACCTCTGAACATGGCTGCATTCTTCTATTGGAGAGATATCTGTCCTACTGTTGAGTGACCAGTAACATGACAATTAAGGGACTTGTGAGGTTGAATGCAACATGAATAGTGGGTATTTCCAGTTTTATTGATTATCCATTGTTTCTAATTATCCAGCCTACTTGTCTCTGTTAGTACAGATAACTTAGAGTTCACTGTAGACTAAGAAAGAAACTTTAAAAAACTTAAAAGGCACCACATGAATAGCAGGGATAAAAGGGGGCCAGTTGAGAAGAAGAATACAACAGAACACGGAAGGAGAAGTGACTCGGCAGTGAATTAACGTGCTTTCAAGAAAAAAGCAGGGCTACACAGAGGGATTTGTTATACAGGAGTTGAGCATGTGAAGTTATAACTGAGTGTAATTGTAATAGTGATGGCAAATAAACCTACTCATCAAATCTAAAATGCACACTTATTAGTCACATTGCCCCCTTACATGTGACAGTATCTTCAGTTGTAATAACAACAATCAGAAGGCAATATCAAACAAGTAAGGTTTTATTTGTTTTATGATACATATTTCAAATTAACATGTGACCACTGATTGTGATCCATTGTCTGTATTAATGAGATTACAATGGCCTAGGATCAGGCTTACTGAAGTGTGTGGCTACTGAATTGGTGTCAAATTCCTCACTTTCATAATGTACCACAGTGCACCTATGACTAAATTTTACATATCTGGTCATCTAAAGTGATGTAATAACTAATTTATATTCAGATGTCCCCAGTTTGTATCTCACCAGGGAAGTAGCTATCCACACCAAAGTGTTTCATAGTTTTCCTTAGTCCCTTCAGGAGAATGCTGGGATGGTATCTTAAACTGTATCTTGACAACAATTACCATCAGAATTCTGTTTAATATCAGTCATTATCAAGCTATTCAACAACTACATCTGATGCAGCATCATCAAATGACCTATGAACTGAGCAGTTTTATATAGTGATAACTCTGCAGACTTGTATTTGGGAGTAGCTGGTTCAAATCTTGGCCAGGTTACTGACTATTCTGGCTGATGTCTTTCCATTATTTTGCTCAGTCTTTCAAGGTAAATGTCAAATCAAGTACCTTGAAATAAATCATGACAACCTCATTTCAAATCCTAACTAACACATCACTTATGATCCACATTCCTGTCTTACTATATAACCTCTGTAACTGGAAAAGTACCATTAAATAACATAACAATCACTCACATTTTCTGTGAACCAACTAACATATTTTTATTTTCTCTCAGTGAGCATTACTCATTTCTTGTACTTCAGTGGATGTAATTAAAACTGACAAGTACAATGAAAATTGTTGTACTGTCTGCAGGAAGAGAGCTCTTATTGGGCACAGTCTCCCACTCTCTTACTCTGTGAGCATTAGTAAGGTGTATGCCTTCCCCCACTTTACCTCCCCCCACTTACATCTCTTTTCCAATGGACAGTGTATGATGTTCATAAAATCAATATGAAATGAAGCCTTTTTGCAGTGTTCTGGTAGCATTGAATAAGTAATTGGGTGTTACTAAGCATTGCATGATGAAAGGCACTAAAGACATGTATCACAATTCTCCATCATAGCATAACTGCTGGCAGGAAGTAAAATAATAAATCAATTTCAAACATACATTAAATCACGAGAAGCCAAAATACTGAAAGCCTTTTCCCGTCTGTGTAAATGAGAACTTCCATATGTATATGCATTTTTATATACATTATTTTGAACCATCCTTTGTCTTGGTTTTCAAAGAACAGACTCTTACTATGGATTCTCCTCAGTGCCTGTTCCTTTTGTTGCCATTCTTTTATACAGATACAATTGTAATATAAAAATGATTCTCCTTTTCATAGCCATTGATTTTCCTCAATACTGTGATAGGAAAAACTGTGTGATGCACAGCTGGTGTTCATTATGAGTAGATATTACAAAATTGATTGGTTGTTGAATGTCTTGTATCAGTTTGGATAACCATAACTCTTTACCTGTTTAACAATGCTATTTTAATAAGGTATATCAAATGAAATGTGAAGATGCTCACCTATAGTGCTGGCACTGCAACCTAACTGAATATACAGTTAATTGCATTTACTTTTCAGAGTAAAAGTGTATTGATGAATTTGATCTGCCAAATTTTGTATTTTTGTTAAAATAACTTTATTTATTTTTATGAACTACAAAAGGCAGAAGTCTTATTCTATTTTCAGCCTCACTTCGAATACAAGTTCAGAAGGTATTCAATTTTTAAACAAAGAGTGGTTAATATATTTTCCCTTACATAGCAAAAAAGTGTATATACATATATATGTTTGTCTTGTTCTATAAATTAATTTTCTCTCCATCTTATGATGTTATATTAAGTTATGAGAAGCCATATGAGGATCTTCAATTTAAGAACTAATTTCTTGATGGAAGACGAAAAGGCTGGAGAAATACTTTTATAATGGTGCAATTAACTGAGCTCATTCTCCCCCCCCCCCTCCTATGCCACATCTGAGAACGTTTTAATTAAACCCTTTTAAAAATAATTATCAGAAGCAGGAGAAAGAAACTTCTTGGTAAAACTGGAAATCTTGTACTGATATTATGACTGTGGACTACTAAACTACTGCTATTATGCTAATTTTACAGTTTAAAATTCTTCGCACAAAATACATGAAAATAACATTCATATCCATCTATCCAGTGTTATGTCCCCAAATTATTTAACGATTTTCAAATAAATTTTATATTGGTGATATAAACGAAAAGCTCCCAAGTTAGTTTACTTTTTATTCATATGAGTTCAATACAAGCCTTACTTTACATGAAAGAAAAATAAACTGTTAACAATTTTCTCAAAACTGGTTTGTCAGTAGTGATAAATTTAAATCTTAGTAAATCTACAACTTTTATTTGAAACATTTTTCAATGTTAAGGGTATTTAAAAGAGAATACAAGGACAGATAATTTTTTATTTAGTTTGAATCTATAGTTTGATCAGGTTTTCAGCAATAGATTTAAAATAATATCAAGGCCATAGATGTTTAACAGAATTACTAGGATTACATTCAGAGTACATCTTCATGCTCTTACTTAATAAGTTAAGTGTTCTATTATGGATTCTATAATATGTTTAGTTAGTAACTATGCTTTTAAATGTAACAGTGGGGAAGGAATGAATGAAAGTATGTCAGAAAAGGTAATCATGAATGTTGTACATCTCACCAGTTCGATCTGTATCACTTAAAATTAAAAAATGTGAATGTTATGCAGATGGGCAAACTGCCAATTCAGTGGATATGGCAAGGAGGAGGGTTCTCCTCAAGAAGCCCCACAATGGCCAGAAGGGGCACTGCAGAATACTGCTCAGTTATTCTGGTGGAGGGTTGGCCGGGGGTTAAGGAGACAACAAGATGAAGCCCTGCATAACAGCAGATTCAGGAAAATATTCACTTGTACAGTCATTAAAGGCATGACTGGATATCAGATTTCAGAATGAGATGTGTATAATTAATGTCAAAACCTTATTATTTTCAATTTTAGCATTTGTGTAGAAGTTAGTTTTGGCTTTCTGCCAAATAATTTTAGCCAGTATATGCATATCTGGTATATGGTATATACAGTAGTTACCAAGATATTAGAGACTGAAATCAACTTGCCTGAAATCACAAGAACTTGTTTGTTTTCTTAATTGTAATGCTCTATCTCCCCTCCTTTTCATTTGCTGCAGAGTAGGGCATGTTATCAAATAGTGATAACAGTTTTGTCAGTGGTATAACTAACACAAAATCGAGGCTAAAAACATTAGAAAAAATATCTACAAATGAAGAAATACATTTGTCTTTGGTACAATAACATAGAAGTCTATTTCTGCAATAACAAATTGGTTTCATTAATAAAGCACTGTGCCATGAAAACGTGTTATGGAGTGCAGGTAGAGTGCCACCATTCTAAATTTCAGCTCAAGACTGAGGTGAGTGTTGAGCTTCTGAGCTTCATATACCCACTACTTCGTTCCTTGAGAAACAGCCCCCAGCACTCACTGTTAGGAGGGTGGGTGGGCCCTCGAACCAGTTTCAACAGTTTTAAAGAACAGAAAAAGCTCTTGCCCCTTCTTGGAATCAAACTGTGTTATCCAACCTGTTACCTAGTTGCTATACTGGCTCAAATAAATTATGTACCACTCATATGTTGGTTTGTATTTCTGTGAGTGTACATAAAAAGAGGAAATGGACACAACCATTTATCATGTATTTGTTGAATAAGCATATAACNTTCAAGTCCAAGCTGACTTTTCCCTACTACTTCTACCATAAGAAAAGTATTAGGCTCTTGCCAATAGTGAGATAGGGGGAAACTCAGACTAGCTTCCAGTGTTGCTAGAATACATGGGAAAAGCTAAACTACCTTCTA